ACGATTTTGCATACAAAATTTACCAGACGTGGATAATAAATCCCCATATTCAGCTTTTACCCAAGTTTTCATTTATGCTCTTAATTTGTTTCAATATATGGCTTAAAAATGTTGCACAATCCAGAAGCACGTGTCGTTTTATTGCCCCACTCGGTATATATCGCAACGAAAATTCTGAAAAAGACGTGACGATATCTCTGAAACAAGAAATACAACTTCAAAGAGGTTTTCAAACGTCTTGGATGCTTCGGATCGCGTCCACTAGATGCTGCACGTGTAACATAGTCATATTAATTAATTGACTCGAGTTTTTAATATAACTTGGCGGGCCGAATGAAGTATTAACTACGAATTATGTTAGCGGACCGGACAAAACCTATCGGCGGGCCGGATCAAGCCCGCGTGCATGTCTTTAACAAGAGTTTTTTCCACCATCAAAGAGCCAATAGTACGTCTGCAATTTGCAACGAACCCAGTGTTGTCTAAATCGAGATTCAACTGCAATCAAAGAAGTGAAGTTTCCGAAGCAATTCTGTCACAGCATTACCGGATTTTAACACTTTAAGGTAATTACTATTTCTTTTCACTAATTTGTTGAATCGATCGCTTGTGTTTGGTATTTGTCTGCTGGCGCTGAGGGTCATTGTTTATTTCAACTTTAATATTGTTTCATTTATGTGAAATAAATTTGTTTCATCTGTAAATGGTTAGCTTTGTGATTAATCGAGCCCAAATTACGACCTGGAGTTCCCGCGCCAAATTCCCAGGGTTATGCCAGGTGTTTAATAATCATTTTAAATTCAGTTCAATTATAGTTTTATTGATAACTTCTAATCGGACCCGAATTTTTAAATGTTTATACCTAACGGAATTTTAAACAGCATTAGAACTTTTTACTACGATAAGCTATTCAAATTACTTGACAGAAGGTTAGAACGTATTGCAATAGCAATATTAAAACCTTTTTATTTAATATAATTTTGTTAGATACAGATAGGTCTTAAGTAGGTTCGTTAAAACGGACATCTGCAAAAGAATAAAATAGCTTTCTTATTTTTTATTCATTGTACGAACGCTATTGTGATTTATAAAATATAATAGCAGTAAACATTGTAAAATGTCATAATAGACCAACGGGGTGCAAAATGCATTCGATTGCCAGAAGCGTATGGAGACAGCAGAGACACTTTACCATATACTCGACGATGTTCTTTGGGAACAAGCGGACTGTATTCGAATTGATTAAACAATCATTGTATAGAGTGCATCGTGGCAGAAGTGAACATGAACACAAACACTACATTAAAGCACCCATAGGTGCGTGTCGTCTCATTAGGTAATCTTAATAAGACCCCATCGTTTTTTAAAGATGTCTTTCGTTACTGAAACAAACCGCGATACGTTGCAACCGACATATTATCAAATTGGAATTCTTTATACTTAGGTATGCAGAATGTATTATGGCTGTTCACGTTTCGAGCAAGAAATCGTACTTTCCCATTTTAAAATATTGACACGTATATATTGGAAAGCTGTAGAATGCTTCAGAGTATAAAAGTTTGCAAACGTTGATAGTTTCAGCGGATTATAAGAATCTTCCTTGTTTCAAACCGGAGTTGAAGTCACATTCTGGAAGAACGATCATCGGTGCGCGTTCGAAATCGACAATAACACGGCCTTACGTTATCAGAATATAAATTCTTAACATACCTCAACCGCCTGTTATGATTTTCCCAAATAGAAATTAAAAATTATTTCCACTAACTGAACAAAAACTCGGTCGTAAGAAATTGGAGGGGTGCGTGTGCCGCTTGTTCAATTGTGTAAACAACACTCCGGTTTTCTAAATCGCTGACTTTTCCACACAAAAAAAATCGCATTAGTGGTAAACTCTCCGTCAAGTACCTTTAATTATAATTTTACGCTTTGGCGGTTAAGATTAATACTACTGCAAAGTTATAATCAACGCAATCTCATGTTTTTAATTATATGCTTACTTAAACAAATTAATATAAAATTGTCGATTAACTCCCTTTTAAAGCGAAATTTCCGACCAATTATGTTCATAAGCATGTTCAAACCGTTATAAATTCTTAAAATATACGCTTAATATTCCTTCCTAGTTATACCCCTTTATTTATGGTTCAAATATTTTTCCATTAATTTTCTAATTATATAAATAAAAATGAATCCCCGAAATGTATAAGTGCAATATCTACAGTCCTCCTATTTATTAAGAAGTTGATACGGATTGACGTGTATTGTTTTCCCCCGTCTAGTTTTAAATGACAAAATTTCTTCTGAAGGGCGCTTAATTTTATGCATCCAAAATAATTTCTTAAAACAAAATCTGGATTGTTGCTTTGGCTTCACAGAAAATAAATCTCTTCCGCTCCTTAAACTGCTACTGGTACTATACCAATTGACAATAACAACTTTTCTTCAGTTGAATACATTGCACACGAACAGAGCTTTGCCTATGGAAACCAAAGCAACAATATTCAAATGACAACCAGATCTTTATTTGTTTTAAGAAATTATGTTGGTTGCATAAAATTAGGCGCCCTTCAGAAACGCGCTTGTCTTTTAAAAGTAGATTTAGGGACAAACAATACACTTATTAAATCCCTATGTCTACCTCTTAATAAATAGTGCTGTATATGTTACGCAACAAATATCGAAAACGCTCAAATGCACATAACGCGTTATGGACGAATCTAAATGACCAAACACCGAAATTAAATATTTTTCAGCGTTATGGTTGTGAACTTCTGCCCATAACGCGTTGGGGTCATTTTAGAAGTGACCACAATGCGAATAGAATGGTTTCCAATCATCCGAACAAAAAATAGCCAATAGAAACAAAGATTGATTGCGCGTTGCTAACCAACGAAACCGCCCTCAGTTTAGTAAACTAATGATAATGATTGTATAAACCCACCATAAGCAAGCATCCAGCTCCTGAGTAGCTCTTGTAAGAGCAAATGATTTGTACAATATCAAAAATTACTTGTTTAAGGTCTAGTTTTTCCACCTCTCAATAACTTTACTCTCCTAATAAATAATATTCTATGGATACCATTGTTGATCCAATCGTTGTCAAGGTACTTACTTATTTGCCAAATAAATTTATCGAGAGATGGAAAGATTGGCCCTTAGTTGTTTAAAAGTATTATTTGCTTGTTGGTAACTTTATTTTCATGTTAAAGGATTGCTGTGTGCAATGGAATGCGGTCAACTACACCGACCACAAAACACCAAACATAGAACTCTCCTTATACACTTCAGGCATCTGCTACAAAGAAAAATTCCAATATTAACCTAAATTAATGTTCTGGGAGACTGAGTATCTTTGATCAACTTGCGAGAATTGCAAAGGATTAACTACACAAAATTTAATTAACACCTGACACAGAAGAATATGACATGAAAACTCTATCCGGATCACACAACGGATTCGAATAAACACAATTGACAATGACAAAAATTTATTTAATGACAAACAACATTAACTTGAATAAAATGTTGCCGGTGGATCTTCAGCGGTACAAACTTTTAATTTTAATCAACAAGAAAACCTTAATAAAAAGCCTACCGGTTGCACTAAATGCTTGATTTTTCAACTTGGCAGTCTTTTTACACAAAGCGGACAAACAACTTTAAACTTCTCACACCACTTTAGTTAATTTGTTTCTACACAAAATTATTATCTTAATGACAAACTACGCCTTCAAATAATCAAATCGTGCGAATTGCCCGAATAAAAATAGCGTAAAGAAACGTACACGCTTTCTAACCGTCGGGAACCAGCCACGTTTTGCAGTTAAGCAGTTAACTAAACTCCCCTTCCACTATAAATAAAATCTCTTGCTCTAGAACTTTCAACTAAAGCGGCCCATTACAATTAGGGCCTAAACACACTAGTCGGTTTTCGCCAACTCGGCAGCCTCCTGTTATAACACACACGTAGCGGTAAACCATTCGACTCAGAAAATGTAAAAATGGCAATGTTGTCACTAATCAGTGTCAAAAATGGATTCATCTGACTCAAAGAAAGAATGAATTTTTTTGAATTACTATTTTTCATATGCCATGAACCATGTGATTAGGTCATTCTTGAATTGCATTTATCAAGAATTTAATATCAATAATAAGATCCATTTTGAAGACACAATAAAGTTTGACAACGCACTTCCAAACCACTTGAAAGCTACGTTTACGTGTGAATAGATCTACTCGTTTTGCATTAGAGCATAAAGGCCTAAACACACTAGTTCTAACTCACACCGAAATAATGTGCAATACTTCGAATTACCTACAACCTGGTTATCAGCACCAAGTGTTGATTTCCTTTTACATTAATAAATGTCTTATAAAATACACAAATTTGACCACAAGTGTATTACATTAAAGCATCTAAATTGAATGAATTACACAATTACAAACAACTCTAAAACGAAACAACAAATACGGAAATACAAATTCCAATAAAATTACCTCTGTGCTTATTCGTAGATAATCCTCCGATTTACACTCAATAAATTGAAATATTCCCATATATACGGGATGTCCTGTCATAATTTTTGGTGTAGAAGTATAAAGTGTATAAAAGATACTTATATTTCCAAAAAAATGTACGGGAAGACGTAAAAAACAATTTTACTCTTTGCCGCTATTTTAAATCACAATGTACCTAACTCACAAATATGGTACCAAAGCGATATCTACTTCTACAGCTCTACCTACTCATTTTTTATTGCATAATACCATTGAATAAAAACATAGTGTTTTTATTCAATGATAATACTGAATGCATATTTTGACATTAACAGTTTTATTATATATTTAAATAAACATGTACGACTGAGTACCGGGACAGTTATCTGCATTTTGTTCACACTTGACCTGTTGATCCAGGATTTATCGTAGACAAACACATCGTCAATTTAAAAAAGCATGTACCTACTTATACTTTGGGTAAAATGGGTATAGGGTGAAATGTGCAAGTTCTGTTGCACGGGGTGCCGTAAGAACCCGTTACGGCGCTGGTAACCAGGCCCATTTGCGTCGGCAGATCCATCACATGCTTCAAAGTAATTAGCATCGCGGCGCTTGCGACCATCAACAACTGAAAAAGGTAAGAAAAACGCGCTGTTGATATAATAACCAAATCGCTTACCAACTACGTTGTCTGTATCTTTTTTTACAGCTGGTGCTGCGAATACAGACAACAATAAAACAGCCAATATACCAAAAATAAACAAGTTACAATTCATTGTTTGGAATCGTTACGTTACACGCAATTTTTGAAGATTTACACTACTTATACCCATGGTTGACGTCAGATTCAGAGATAATAACAATGACAACATTCTTATTTTCGGAAAACCCAGAAGAATGAAGGCGATTATATTATAAAGTCACAGGTCATCTTCATTGCCATTATGTGTTTATGTGAAGGAAAATCCAAAAAGTGTCGAAACACCATAACAACCATAGTTTGCTAAATACATTGTTTGTTTTACCCACTAGGTACTTACCGTATAATACCGTTAAAGCAATTGATGAATACCTACCCTGCCAAACACCAATATGTCCTTTAATACATGGATTTGGTATTATGAGGTTGCAATTCCTTACCAAAAGTCAATGGAAATTGTACCTAGTAATTACCTACCTATAAGATTTAAATCTAAAAATCGGAGGCACCTCGAATAACAGTAAAATTAATTCCGAATCAAAAAATTTGTTTTGCGCATGTGCACTCCTCTTTTTAGCATTGGAAATTCTTATGTTTTGTATGGGTATGAATTTAACAGGTTTGCCGAGTAGAAAAGAAGACAAGTGGTGTCGCGTCTAGTGTTGATTATACCGTACTCGACTGCAATCGATAGATTCAGGAAAAGTCGCGGATACTGTCGATACGGTACTTACTTAACAGTGCGCAGGGGTTTTGTTAATTCGAATTGAAAATTCTCGCACATCGCCCGTGATAGTATTACAAGCATGTTACGCCGCTTATTACCTATTCAGAAAGTGTACGTTTGCGACACGAGCGAGCTTGCGAGCGAGTGGAGCAAGATTATTCCGTGTGAAGGGTTATTTATGACATTATAGGTTTATACGGTTATCATTCCCAATGTCTCCGATGGTTGCAAGGATTGCGAAATCTGTGAATTTTTTTGTTTATTAAGATATTTAAGAGAAATTTTGCATGTAGGCACCTCGAGTAATAGCTCGAGTAAAAGTAAACTAATTCTGATTCAAACAATTTATTTTACAAGCTAGGTAGGGTGTTGTGAAAATGATGGATGCGTGAAGATCTCGAGGATCGTTCGGTATTCAGCTGTCGGATTTTTAGCTGTGAAATTATCACAATTATATTGGCGCGTATTGATAATCTGTACATTATTTTTCCAAAGTTGCTCGAAAAATGAAGTCAAATTTGACCCTGCCGTATAGCCGAAGAGTAAATATAATCTATGGTATAGCACCAAACATAGCATATATTATTTGGTGAATGAATATACCTATTGGAGAATAACAAGATGCGAAATACGGAAAAAATATTGACATTATTCATTAGGGTAACATGCGCGTGTAAATTAGTAATTTCTGATTTGAAAAACTCATCAAATTTAACCGGTAAAGCACAATAAGTAATACGAGTCATATTAATCCATATCGGTACGTTTAATGAACATGTCAGAGACAGTGACGGTCCATTGTCAGAGGGGTTGGACTTATCAAAGTCCGGTGACGAGAAAATCATATCAAACCCCATTTATCTCCGTTATCCGATGAACTGTTATCAGTGTTTATTATCACATTAGTGTTAGACCGCAAATTCTCTAGAGATCTATTCTAGCGCCGTACAGCGTGGACGGGCGCGGGTTGTTAAATAATGGAAGTGTAACAAGGGACAAATCTCTCGAGTAATTTCCCTTTACGAAACACATATGTTGCAATTTAATTCTAATTTATATATTTATTTATGCACCTTTGCTTTTGGTTAACTCGTGGTAGGTACCTACTCATTACGCACTTCATTAGATATAGGCATTGAATAAATTAATTTTTTATGGCATGTTTGTGCCATTTGTTCTGAAAACTTATTATGTCATAAAATTTGGACAAAAAAGATATCAACGTTGTTTTTAGCATTCTCTAGTTCCGTCAATTGTTAAGTATTAAATTCATGCGTTTTCGTAATTTTGTGTGCACCAATTTATTTGAAAAGGCGAGCGGGATGCCGAAGTTGTAAATATGCATTTTCTAATATCTAAGGAGCCGACGAAATTGCAAATGAACCAGGCCTGAGCTCTAGGAGCTATATTATAGAATCATGGTTCCCACCATCCCAACCGATCTCCAGTGCTGTATTGGAGGGTATACGCGGGTATACGTCGTATACGTTTAAAAGACGATTTTCTTTTACGTATACGGAAATGACAATTTGCTAAATACGCAAATATACGGTGGTATACGTATAATGCTGAAAATCTTGGACTAATATGGCGTTTTATTCTTTACGTCGGTAACTTCTGGCGGGCACCTTTGAAAATCCTATCGAAACTGTAAGAGGTCTCGGGCAGTTTCTAGCACTCCAGTCGTCAGTATAATACCTTTGTGGCCCTTACCACATCGATCAGCAGATGACACTAGATAAAAAATTATTCCTTCTACGTTTGCACGCGAATTCCTTTGGGAAATGTTATGAAAGTAACCTGTTTTGTAAAAATTTACTAAAATTAAAATTTTTTAAACCCTTTTCCCCCCCCCCCCCCCATGAAACGTATGCTTGCGTATACCTTTACCGTAATTTACCAATACACCACTGCCGATCTCTATATCAGAAAATATCATTTTGAAGTATTCGGATGTCCAATAATAATCTTAGAGGGGGGTCTAATTTTTTATTGCGCACTTCCGCTTAATATCAAATTACATAGGGCGAACGGTCATCCAGATATTAGATCGCGTTGTATCGAGGTCGCAAAACTACAATTCCTCAATTTTCTAAGGGTTTAGCGTTTTCTAAGGAAATTTCAGTAAAGCAGCCTCCGTTTATCTAATATTTTATAAAAGCACATGCTTAGCTTCCCACCCGTAAGATCTATTAGCAAAGCGCGTGTTTTGGAGCTCTGGGCAATCCAATGGGCGAACGATATACCTGCGTACCTACCTAGATTTGCAAAAGTAAAACAAAAACACCAATAAACCGCAATAATATATTACAACCTCGAACGCGTTTCGACAACAAGGCTGTCATCATCAGCAAACAACAAAACAAAGAAATTGCATTCATAATAAAAATATCTCGTAATCTACGCTCTCGATGTTTTGAAATTTGGCCCAAAAAATATACAGAAGAGACTTATAATAAATTTCAGTTCATACCCATCTGAGAAATAAAGCTAATTTCTCGTCAGGATGAATGGATTTCCGCATAACCGTATCTTTATTTCGAAGAAAATTTCCACTCTGCAGCGTGAGAAGGAGCTCTTACAATTAACATAATTTAAAATACAAATTAAAGTCGTTTACAATTCGAGAAATCAAAGCATGCGGTGCGTCTGGGTTTCGCTAGTGACGTCACTACACGCGGCGAAAAAATTCGGTGATCGAGCAATCCTATATTTAATATTATATAGCATCCTTGGTCTGTAGGTATTTCAATCATACTTCAACAAGGGACGAAATGATTGACTACTTACATACCATAACCACACTGTGCCATAACCCCATAAGTGTATATACAGGTAAAATGGAGTTACTTTATGACTTCGTGACATACCTCAAAATGATCACTCAAATAGGCACCACATCTTTATGCAATGAAGTATCAACCTTCCCTTGGTTCATTATGTAATGACTTTTATTTTAGAAAACGTACTGAAAAGTTTCAAAAACTCTGTGATGTACCTAGAGTAAATACAATCTCTATGGATGTACCCAAGCTGATGACAGTTCCCGCGCTCACAAAAGCGGGAAAAAGACTATACTATGGTACTACGTAGTACCGTTGAGTGAAATGATTTCGTTATTAAATGATAGTAGTTGTGAAAAACCAGGTTGCATCAAGCTCGGGAGGAACGCAAATAATGCAATTTTTTTGCAAAGCGAAACCGCTTGCGAGTTCCGAGCACACATAAAAGTGCTCAAGCGGTTTATCGCCAGCGCTCGGCCAAAGAGCTCGGGAGTGGAAAAACGCTCGCGAGCGGCGCTTTATCCTACGTCGCTTGAGGGCGGTTAAAAGCGCTCACGAGCACTAAAACTAGGGAACTGGGGAGCGAAAAAAACACGCTTGAGCGGAAAAACCGCTCGGGGGCAGAAAAAAAGCGCTCCAGCGTCGGGCACTTTAAGTAAACGCTCGAATATCGAGCACCAAGCGACCGCGCCGCTTTTTCCGCTTGGAGCGCTATTTCGAGCGAAACGCTCGCGAGCAGTAGTCAGCTATTTCTTATAGCGATAATTCCATAGTGCTAATGTGAGACCGGGACAATAAACAAACAATGTTAAACAATTTTAAGCAACCCACGGAATTGTATGTATTGATATACGAAATACATTGCAAACTTCAAATCAAAAATTCAAGGTTAATTTACGAATGAAATACATGAAGTATTTGGTATCGCCGATTGTGTAGTTTTTTCTCTATCGAGTGACATAAAAATTCAATATGGCGTCCATACAAAAATAAATGAACGCCAGGTCGCCAGCGTAATCTCGAATCTCGCCAGAACTTCGCTATTTTAATAATAATAATAATCTTTATTGTTGTTAAGACAAAAAACATTTTTTTGTTTACAAACGTCAGTTTAGAAAAGGATAAAAAACAAGGGACAAATACATTTAATGACTAACTTACATTGAAATCGGATGAAGACCATTGACAATTCAAAAATTCGTTAATGTCGTAAAAACTTTGTTTTTTTTTAAATGTTTTAATTTTATTTTTGAAAATTTTGGATGGTAGCCTTATTACTACGTCGCTAGGTAATTTGTTTAAAAAGCGAGGACTGTAATAATTAGCACCATATCTACTACATTGCAATCTCATATATTGATGCCTCACCAGTTCACCACCCCTGGTACTGTAATTGTGGATTTGATTTTGTAGAGTATAGCAACGTGACTGTTGCTTAGCATGCAATAAACAAGCAAATATGTACGGACATGGTAACGTGAGTGTGAGTATACCCAAAGGGCTGAATTTACTCCTGATATCTGCTCTATAAGGAGTACCTGTAATAGCGCGAAGAGCCCGGCGTTGAAAGCCAAATAATCGTTTCGAATGATGAGAGTGTCCCCAACAAAAAATTGCATAGTTAATGTGAGAGTGTATTAGACCATAGTAAGCTAAAACCAGCGTTTTCACGCTTACCTGTCCATACAGCCTCCGCATAACGTATATGTTACGGTTAATCTTAGAGGAAACGTAATCAACATTTTTTTAACAACAACATTTATTTAATTTGGGATCTAAATAGACACCCAGGAATTTCACCGCTTCAACACCGTTTGCATTTTCTATCTTATGCGAAAAAATTAAAGTTTGAGTTTTTTGCATATTCATATAGGTATAACTCGTTTGCATGGAACAAATCTACAATTTTGTAAAATGTAAAGCTACAATAAGAAACTTTGAAACGGAAAATTTTTCTCACTTAGGCGTTGCAATTTGAAAAAGAGTACCACAGATTTAAATATAGATACTATAAATCTGTGGTAGTACTGTACAGTATAGGTACGTCCGTATATGAAAAACAGGAAAAACTACTAAACGCTCTGTAAAATATACTTTTGTGATCGTGAATTTTTACAATATTCCAATAGTACCTATTTCAATATTACAATTTAAATTTAGTAATTTTGTGTAAGCTGTGTTCATATTGGTCTAAGAATTTTTAAGGCATATTTCCACCTTATAATTAGTACATGATTGAATTTTCAGCTCAGAACCAAATCGTGGATAGTTAAAATAATTCAGTATTTCACTTATAACCTTTTTTTTTTTATCGAAAAAATAAAATTTTTGATTGACCTTCGCTAATGTCATATTTATTAAAAATTTTAAACGGCACCCCCCTAAACAAATTATACCTCTGGGTAGCCATAACTACAAATTTTACACTGAACCTAAGTGTACCATGATAAAACAAAAGATGTTCAATTCTCACAATTAACAGTAAAGTGTCGGCAGTCGGCAGGGCCGTACCCAGAGGTTTGTTGCTATCAGGGCCTTGATTGTTATAGCCAGGGCCAATTTTTTCAAAAGTTAAAGTTTAAGTTCAAGGTCATTGATTAATTATTTCATTGCTTTTAAGAAATTATCAGCCAACAGACAATGCAGCAGTAATAAAAATGTATTATGGCTTGAATTGGATATCACAAGGTTAAGATATTTTAACCGCTTATCCGTGATCGGTTATAATTCCGTATACCTCAAGAGTGGATTGTGGAAGGAGGGTACTTACAAAGACAAAATGAATGTTTTAAAGAAAATGCGCTTTATCTGCACAAGAGTATTGCACAATTTATCCTTGTTTAGAATCACATCGCTATTTTCCTGCCAAGGCGAAAATTTTATCTGCCAGGGCCCAGGGCGGCGCCCTGATTCGCCCCCCTCTGGCTACGGCCCTACGGCAGTGTATGATTGTTTTTTAATCAACGTTGCAAAAATGTTCCAAACTCAAGCAGGAATTGTTGATATGATGTTTATTCTTGGAGACCATTACTGGAATTGTTTGCTGGTGTCACGAGTGTACGCTGGGAGATATCCTGGCAGCACACATTCAGGTCCACGCGTGTTTCAACAGGTTGTTACATGCTTCTTGTGGATCCGAATTAGATGACGAAATAAACTGCGCGTTGTTTTGATAAATTTAATATTGAAAAAACCTAAAATATATATATTGGGATAACGAAAAGCAACCAAAACTACTCCCTTACCTAACACCAGCTTATCTACTTCAAAATAACAAATTATTTCTTATAGAAAATGCCTAATGGCTGGTAAGCTTTCAACGTTAAAATTAATCTAATCCTTTAACGCAAAGACACTATTCGCAAAGTCGAACAATCGAATAACCTGCGCAATAAATAAAATGTCCCAACTCTCAAATTAAAATTTAATTCTGTATTTGTAAAATTCATAGTTCTGTCACAAGGTGTTGGATAGATTTACGGCTACTGGGAGTGTAAAACGATCAAGGAGAGTTAAACAGACGCCGGTTTTGGCGGAAGATCATGAATTGCTAGTTCTTGGGGCAGCATGTTCACAATCGCCATATTAGTGTGCGTGAAATTAGTACTCCCAGTAGTTATAAATTTATCCAACACCTTTTGAAACGCATGTGGATCTGGATATGTTCTGCCAGCAAACAATTCCGGTAACAGTCTCCAAGGATAAACACCATATTAATCAGTTCATACACTGCCGACACTGTTAGGTCGTATAACATGTTACATGAAAAAATAATTACTTTTCCAGTACATTCCAAATCAGTAATAAAATATGGGGTGTTCCATTTAAAAAAATGCATGTTTGATACGCCACTGGAATACAGCACGCCCCTGTTGATCAAAAATATTTTAGCAAATTTTTTCTGCATCTTTTGGTAAAGGAGTTATGATCCGAGGGATCTTAGGTGCTACACCCTGTATTTGCATATTACTCATCATTTACAATTGTGATACTCGGCAACACCCACAAGTGGGTTTTGAAACATTTTTTGAGGCCTATTTATTGTACTTGTACATATCTTCTAATGCTAATCATCAGCCCCATACCTCATCATTTACAATTAATTTGTGTTTTCTAATGTAACTGTTTTCTTTCGTTTTTAGCACTTTTTCTAAAAATTAACCATTGACAACCAGTTTCTCCACCTATCCGAGACTGTAGCTAATTCTTCAGCTTATAAGATATCGGCTTCACTTTTTTGTGTTTGGTAAATTGCTCTTGCACCAGAGTGAACAAATTCTAACCAATCGTTTCATCTTAGTCCGGCAAGATCACAAATGTTTTCCGAAAATACTACATCACTTGCCAATTTCCCTATTTGCAAAGATATTTTCGTGAAACTTTAGCTACACCTAATAATAGTAGTGCACATGTCCTGTTGTCAACAATTTATGTTCGAAAGAACCAAACCTTCATTACTACCACAAGTTGCCCAGTGGGCCATTTTATATTTCTTATAAAAAATATGTCTTACAAATATTTTAATACACACACAAATTGTTAATACAATATTACTCTGTAAGAATACTTAAGAAAACATTTTTATTTCGCAGCACTGGTTTACTTCTTTACCGTTCACAGCCTATACTTCTTCAATTGATCTCAAAATCAAACACAAAAATAAATAAATTTGACAAATAGTCATTTATTTGCTTGCTTCATTCGAGAAAAAAACTGAAACAGTTGATTTAAATATTTACATCATTTTACAAGAAATACTTACATCCTTCATGCTTTTCACGCCATCTGCAAATACGCAAGTTTGCAGAGACCTCTTAATCCAATTTGGGAGTGAATTTTTTGTTCCCAACCTATCATACCTGTCATCCAGCAAAAGTACACAAGCATAATCATCTTTATGTCTGACTGCTCTTCCAATGCACTGGTTTACGGATTTCATACAAATCGCTTCATAAAATTGTTGTCCCGAGCCTGCTCCCTGAATCAAAAGAAAAGATTTCAAAAAACTATAATCGATTATTGAAAGACACTTCTACCTCTGTCTTATCCAAATAGACCATTTTCTCTTTTAGTTCGGGCGAGTAAATGTTTGCATACGGAAGCCCGACAACTACGACGCATCTGCCAAGATCATCACTAAAATTTAAGCCTTCGCTGAGCTTTCCCCCTAGCAAAGTTTTAAATAGAAATTTAGGCTAGAGCTGAATGTGTTCTCATACCAACAACACTAAATAATATGGCCCCTGTGCTGTTGGGTTTGCGAATCGCGCACGCATAGGCATTGAGCACAGAATCAACAGATCCAGTATTTTGTGGCTCTCTGAAAACTGGTTTTCCAAATCTCACATCCTGCAATTGCTGATACACCCATGCTTCGTATTTGTAAGAGGGAAAAAATACAACAATTCCCCCTTTAACGGTACTTGATATCTCCAGAAGTGTTTGTTTTATACAATTACCCTGAAATAAGACAACTGAACCAAATGAATTATCAAAAATGTTGTAATCTAACCATAGAAAAGCGATTTTCAAAGTTAAAGAGCATCCTCTCCCCTTGTAACCCCTTCGTTACCACCAATGGCAAAATGTTTTCAGGGGGGATAATGTGATCACAGGAAAATTCGACAATTCTGTCATTTGTTGCGCCAGCTGCCACAAACAATCTGTTTCTAAACTCCGAGATTGGTTTCATTGTTCCACCTGCAACTATTACCTGCAACAATGGACCCAAATGAAAATGCACAAATGTACGACAGTAAACGAACCGCTCTCGCATCCCTCACAATTTCTTTAAATTGCTCCGCCGGGTTTAACAATAAAAATTGCACTTTGCACTGGTCGCCCTTATGAACAATAATGCGGCCGTCTTCGTACGTGCACGTTAATGCTTCCAAAAATGATAAGAATGCTAGAAATGGATTTCCTACGGCTACGGTTGATTTGGCAGGAGTTAGGGTTACTTCTTCTGTAGAGACGACGTTGCTGCCTGAAGTCTTGTTTTCAATGCTGTCAAGAAAATCTTTCATTTTTGCTCTTGCATTTTTTTGCTCTTTGTTTGGAGGAGCTACTGAATCTATAGGATACATGCTGCTGTAGTTTTGTAGCTGCAAAACAGTGTAAAAATTAAATATTGATATGTATAAAGTAGCTTGATATCATATTAGTAAGTGAGCGTCATAAGCTTGCAGTAGGTATTTAATACCAGTCAGCAGGTATGCAACTCCCAACACAAAGATTTAAATCAATAGATCAATTTTAGTAAATGAACTTGAAAAATTGGGGCACAAGCTCAACGATGGCGGATCTAATATCTGATCAGGGATATGATAAACGCAGAGCATTGGATATGCATCAAGTTCTCTCATTTCATATCAAAAATTCTTTACCATCCGCACGTTAGTAAGGGAGGTTTGCATTGGGGTAAAAAATGACGGAAATACACGTTTTGAAGCACCAGGAATCAAACAAAACCTCGATGATTTCGGTCTCATTTCCGGCTAAACGCTTGAATCAAATACAGCCAAATTGGGTACACAGACAAGTATTCTTAAACATAAAAGGAAGAGCCGGGAAGCTTTTGGACAGAACGCGCATGCGCAAGTGTGCGAGCCTTTGAACTAAGAGAATTTTACTATTGTACATTTAAGTTGTACACTGAAAGGTGCGATCAATCCGAATTGGAGTGCCATATTCCGAAACACTGTCCATCCATTGTGAACAAAAATTCATTGGAGTTTGAAAATGACATTGGCTTGAGCATTAAAACAACAAATTAATGCAGACAGAAGAAGATCTATGAAAGAAATACAAACCACAGTATAATTGAAAACCAAAGCGGTCATAGATACAGAAATTACAGCCACAAATGCAACTTGAATTTTCTCAATCTACAACACAAGCAATCAAAATTTTTTTTAAAGTTTTTTATCAATTATTCAAAAACCTTTCAGCCGATTTAAATAAAATTGGGTAGGTTTATTTGTCGTCATAAGGGCCTTTGAATAATTGATAAAAAATCGATTATTTTTTTAAAAAACATTTACACCCTGCATCTAAAAAATGAAGCAAATTAGGACATACGATTATATGAAAAAAGATTCTAATTTTTTGCTAGTAAATACGCCCTTAAAATCTTGAATCATCCTGTATAGCATCACTCAATTTTGAAGTATGCAGCATGCCGTGTCCTCTAGTGTCAAAACTATGAACTATGATCATTCAAGTTCCGTGAACAATCAGATTTGTGAATTTACGAAATGCAAATACAGTTTTTGGTGGCCGGTTCTTTTCCTAGTCAACAATGCATGCGCAACTGGACAAAGGACACACTTGTCATTTCCAATAAAAAGAGAACTGGTTATTGTTTCACACGGGGGTAAGATCCCTCCTCCCCCCCATTTCCTCATATTACTATGTAATAATGCGCTTCTGAAACTTCGCACCGTTACAGTTTTTGAGATATATTGCAAAACATCGGGGGGGGGGGGGGGGGTTAATGCAGACAATTGCCAAAATTGTGTAGTTTTGGATGCTGATAGATAATCCGATGCAATATTTTGAAACAAAAATTCGTTTCGTAGATAATTGGAAAAAATCGCCATTTTTAAAAAGTTCAAATATTTTAGTAACAAAAAGAGCTAAGTTTCAAATAAAAGTTGCAAGATTGGATGGGATAAACTCAATGGAGGTAAAAAATTTTTTTTCAAATGACAGTTTTCGAGGACATCGACTTTCTTATTTTAAATGGACACCATATTGGATTTTCACGTCACTCGATACACACAAAAATTACAAAACCAGTGATACTAAACACTTAGTATTTCATTTGGGAATCAACCTTGCATTTTTGCCTCAAAGTTTAAAATGTATTTCTTATGGAAATAATTCCATGGCTGATTGTGATTGAAACCACAGTGGTTCCTTTATTGTCTCGCATAGCCACAATCGACACAGCCATGGAATTATTGCCATAAAAATACATTGTAAACTTCGAGGCAAAAATGCACGGTTGATTTCCAAATGAAATACTAAGTGTTTAAGTATCACTGGTTTTCTAAAAATCCAAAAATCCAAGATAGCGTTCATTTAAAATAAGGAAATTGCTGTCAATATCTCGAAAACCGCCATTTTGCAAAATTGTTGCCTACATCCATTGAATTTATCCCATCAAATCTTGCAACTTTTTTCGATAGCTCTCTTTGTTAGGCACTATTAAACTGTTTAAAAATTTCCACTTTTGGTCCAATTATCTAAACGATGTATTTTTTTCAAAATACCGCATCAGAATATCCATTAGCATCAAAAACTACACAACTTTTCCAAATTTAACCGAATCTGTAAGTATAATAATAACAAAGATAGCCATGTTATCCTACTCAGTTTAAGACACACTGTATTAAGTAGAATTTTTTATGATGAATACGATATATGGCACACACACACACAAAAAAGTTGGAGCCTATTGGTTGCAAGGGGGGGGGGGGGGGGGGTGCACACGCGTACGATGTACATATTGAACAAATTTCGTGAAAAATCGGAAATTTGTCCCGATAGGTATTCTCGCACGATTTGAGCGTTGTGCGCGAGTGCACCATCCTGTTAAACCAACAGTTTCCATCTTTTGTTTTTTTTTGTGTGCCGTATATTGTTGCATTCGTAATAAACAAATCTACTCAATAAAGTATGTATGTACGCAGTCTTGTACAGCTCAAAAGGTGGCAATGAGAAAGTGTTCTTTATTTATTTCTATCTGTTCAAAATAACATCAGAAAAAAATAACAAAGAAATCGGTTAATTTAGGTTTTCCTGATATATCTTCGCAAGTAGATATTCGGAATTTTTTTGTTTTCATTAAATCATTATAATAACTCTTTAATTGCACAGCTTTTCTCTAATTTGACTATAGTATCTTCTATGGTTTCGGACATCGCCATAATAGGCATAATTATCTTGGGCACTGTACATGTCACTTTGAAGATAAGCTCTGAAAGTTTTATTTTTAATATAGAATATCGTTGATCCTCAAAATGACATATTATGCAGTCTGTTTCCGAATAAGCACCTTACTTTTTTAGACACACTATGTGCACCAATTTCAAAAACATTTGGCAGTAATGTTTCAGAACAATCTCTGCAACCATGGGGGCTAGAGACCGACAGTACCTACTGGAATTAAATAAATGACGATCTATTATTACAAACCCTTAATTTTTTGTTTTACTGTAAATTCAAACTGTCGTTAATATGAATAAATCACCCCGTATTATACTTAGTATGCACTTTAACCTGAATGAGTATCTGAAAGGAGGGTTGATGGAGATGATTAGGTATATTATAAAATAATCGATATCACAAAATTAAATCCCGTAGATGTATAGTAAATTGTAATAATAATGTTGCATTTTTAAAAGCTTCAATTTGGCCCCCCGCGAGTGGCGCAAAATGTGAATCAAATGACGCATTTTAGCTACAGACATAAGTTGACATCAACATATATACCTACTGAACTGCTTGATTTGGGGGGGGGGGGGCACCTTTGCCTCAGGAGTGTCACCATACGCTAGAGTCAATGTTAAAGGCAACTAAAAAGCCAATACAATGGCCTGATCTCCCAGTCCCACAATGCTGGTATTGTTCTTTCAGGTTATTAAGTTTAGTCCTACTTACACGGCACATACATTTCTTAAAGCACTACACAGATTATTGGACCAATTCTCCATCAACATTTTTCCTTCCTGTGTGGACATTTTAGTAGTTATGAGTATTGCACTCTTAATATCAAACTTTAAACATTTTCTAATAGATTCTATATAATGTTCTAAATTCTTTAACGCTTTGAGGTAGTCCATTTAAAAAAGATACATTGAGGAATTGTTCAGCATTTACACATATACCGCTTCACAGCCAACATGAAAAAAAGCTTGTGGCTTGTTACGTTAAAATCTCAGTTTATTAATCAAAGTTGTGCATCAAATTTATTTATAACAACATAAATAAAACGGCAACCGGTAAAAAGATTAACGACAATTAATTCGTGGTTTTATTGGCTGTCAAAACCCTAAGTTATAAGGGTAATTTTGGACATTTCCATACTATGGAACATTGGTAATTTGTCCCATAGATAAACAAAATTAGAACTCATTTGTGAGAAACCTGAAAAATGGTTGTGCCGATTTTAATTTTGTCATCATTTTGCGAGTTTAAAATTAAAACACATTTTCCAGGATGCTCTCTGTCTTACAAGTTTTGTATACATTTTATTATTTTAAAATTTAAAATCACTGTCCATAGAATAAATTTTATATCTCATATTGCATATTGCAAAAACAAATGTAAATTTGTAAGAATTTTTTCAGTTTAATTTCATACATGTCATGACGGATTAACTGAACTTCGCTGGTGAAGATTAAGGTTTGATTGGGGGCCTCGAAAAGTGAAACAGTTAAAAGTGGAACTGTATGTGCCTGAAAGCATAAGCATAGTTCGTACTAATTTTAGGAAGTGAAGGTATCTTCAAGAGAATTAAGATAGTTGGAAAATTGAAATTTTCAAGGCATTTGGGGCAACATATTATGTACCCCTTACAAGTCTTACAGAAGGTTACACTTCCTCATAATTATCTACCACCACTTACCTTATGTGCGATTTTACTTGTGCGACAAAATTTCAATAACTTAAACATATTGTAGTTGTCGATTTCAGCCGATAAAACAAATGCTTCCACAGTGTAAACCGCAGATTTTGATTGGTTCTCAATTTTCGTATCTAAAAAATTATCTCACATCAAGACACAAAAGGTGTAATTATCTTCACCTAATAAACTTATTATGCCAGAGACAACGAATAGTATTTGATTGATACAAAGTAAATTCTGTGCAGAAAACCTCTTCGAATATCGCTGTTTATAGGCGCGAAGCCTTCCGCGGGCGTCCTGCAACTGTTGCAGGCTGATTTCGGAACTGTACATTTGTGCTAGAGCATCTAATAGATTATGCGCTTCGTCCACTATAACTACGTTATTCTTCAACTTAAGTCCTAAAATGGTAACGGATGCTGCAAAATTCACGCAAATCCCCTTACCAATCGATTCCCTTGTATTTTTGTGCAGAAGTGTATTGTACGGTACCAATACCACATGGGCATCTTCAGCCGCCTTACGACTCGCATAATACGGACATGCGTTGAGTTGTTTTCCAATTTTCACCAGATCTTCTACATCACAAACAGAGGTTAGTGCAGAATCTCGCAAATCGTCGATATTTTGCTGTTTATTGTAAGGGCACTGTCCCGATGACATTCCTTTCGCTCGTTTCAAAACCTTTCCATCAGAATCGACCTTGTTTGCTTTTGACTTTTTTTGCATATCTAAACATCTAAAATGTTAGGTGAATACTAGCAGATTATGTTACACAAAACGTACCTTTCGTTTATTAACGCAATATTTTTCAATTTCGAAACAAGTGGGTTAATACAATAGTTTTGACGCGAGGAGAGCGAGACCGCACGAGTGTTGACGCCAAAGGGTGACTTCAAAATTTCGCCGACCATCTGAGATAGTTGCGAATGTGTTCTGCTACAAATTAGGATCTGTAATCATTTATAATAACAGTGCAATTTCAAGTAGATATATCAAATATTTAATACTATTATGAACAAACACACAGGGTGTCAATTTTAAAACTTGCTGTCGGCCATATTTTCCAAATTAAAGAAGAAATCGCGCAAAACCGTTTCGAGGGTATCGAGCTGGAACCAGAATGACGTTATGAGTGAGAACCCCCCCCCCTTAACCCCCGACCCCCCGCTTCAAAAATCCCAAATGACAAACCCATACTTGTGACATATCGTTGGAAAGCTACTGAAAAATGCTATCCACCAATAAAGTCAATATTCATTAAGACAATTTAACAAAAATTTAATAATTAACAAAAAAAATGAAAATTAAGCCATGCCTATGTTCAAGACTTGGTCGGTAAATTCGAAGAAACGGGACCTGTTATCAATAAAAAAAGAAAGCAATCAAGATTGCTTAATGAAGCAACTCAGGTGTAAGTTCTTGGTCAATTTGCCATAAATGCCTCAATGTCAACATTTAGTTTTTTTTTAATTATTAAATTTTTGTTAAATTGTCTTAATGAATATTGACCTTATTTGACATTGATTTATTTATTATATATTTATATTATTTATTTTATGACACTGGAAAGCATCTTTCAGTAGCTTTCCAACGATGTGTCACAAGTATGGGGTTGCCATTTAGGATTTTTGAAGAGGGGGGGGAGGGCTGGGGGCTAGGCTGGGGGGTTAAGGGGGTGGGGGTTGTCACTCATAACGTCATTCGAGTTCCCCCTCGATAGTCCTGAAACAGTGTTGCGCAATATCCTCTTTAGTTTAGAAAATATGGCCGACTGCAAATTTTAAAATTGACAGCCTGTATACCCTGTGTCCCAGGTTGAACACACTATCTGCAAACAGAATTAATGTATTTTTTCCAGTAGTACGTTGAATGCTGATTTCAAAGGCCTTGTGAATCCTTCACGAAAAAATACATTACTGTTTCCCTATGGTGCGTTCTACCTGGGACACACTGTATACATAGGTACCATACATACACTGTGTTCAAGATAAGGATGTCTATCATGGAGATCTCCGAAACTATAAAGGCCGATTCTCACTTTCGTGCAAAGAACCGGCCCGGCAACGGCACGGCACATACTCGGCACGGGCAAAGTTTTTTGAGTTCAATTCACACTGCGACACGCTTGCCGCAGGTAAGCAGTTTCTACGTGAGTTTCAACTGTGGAAATGTTCGAAACTTCCACGTTAATTAAAATAGGTCTAATATTAGATGATTAAGAACAAGAAAGTACATATTGCAGGAAAATAAAAATACGTTTTTGTGTATATAAAATGCATAAGAAGTATCTTTTATGACCGAAATCATTCTTTCGGACACATTCAATCAGCATCTCATCTTGTTCCGCTGAAAAAGTGTTCCTTTGCTGACCCTTCAACCTTTCTTGTACTATGAAAACTGAACTAAAGTCGGTGACCTGCACAGATTGTATTCACACTTGTCGGAACGTGCACGGTACATGCCCGGCAAATATTGTTTCAGAAGAACACCGTGTGCAAAGGCCGTAGCTTGCCGAGTCGTTGCTCGCATAGTGTGAATTACACCCCAAAAAATTCATAAGATTCAATAATATAGATATTTTGCTGAGTCGATGCCTTGCCTGTGCCGAGTACGTGCCTTGCACGAAAGTGAGAATCGACCTTAATAATATGACGATGGTCAAATTAGAGAAAAGATGTGCAATTTAAAGACTAGTAAATTCCAATTACTTCTGAAGATATGCCAGAAAAACCAAAATTTTACCAATTTCGTTTTTATTTTTTTCTAATGTTATTTGAATAGATACAAAAAAAAAACATTTGCTCATTGGCACATTTTGAATTATATTTTTTTATATAGCAGTACAAAAAGTACATACTGTATTAAATAGCAGTTTTTATTACAAATACAATGATGTATGGCACATAAAAAAAACAAAAGTTGGAAACTGTGGGTTTCAACAGGATCATGCCCCGGTGCACAACGCCCTAATCGTGTGAGAATACCTATCGGAGATTTTTCCTCAACAGGAAAAATTTCTCCAATAGGTAATACAGTAGACGCAAGAATGGAAAGTCATCTGAATGCCAGGTCTAATGTTATTCGACAGTGGAATGAAAAGGATCGCTTGTACTGGTTTCTTTTTCAAGTGAATAGAAAAATTTTAAGGTGATAAATCCATTGGAATCACATGGCCTAAAATTTTTTTTATGCCATTGTACATTTTTTCCCAGAGGGCCATACGAAACCAGTCAGTCAGGCTTCATATACTAGCTATGTGCGCTGTGATTTTCTTTACTAAAGGCATCTATGGTTAAAATTTCAAAGAAATATCTCCATAACAAAAAGTTGGCGTTGCGCAGTTCGCGCATGAGCATATTTAATTTCTGCTATAGCTATAGGTATGCGATGTTTGTTTTTACTAGAAGCGTTTATGGTTAAACTTTAGAGAGAGATTTTCATAAGTAAAAACTAAAAAAGTTGGCATGCGTGGATTTGATTTTTACTATGTGCGATATTGCTTTTCCTAATGACATTTGTAGTTTCCAATTTTTACTACATGTGATATGTTTTTCTTTACTAGAAGCATCTATGGTTAAAATGTCAAAGAAATATCTTGATAAATAAAGAAGTAGGCACTGCCTGCGCATGCGCACATCTAATTTTTGCAATATCAGTTATGTTTACCTTTAACAAAAGCATCTCTGATTAAAATTTCAAAAAGATATCTCGATAAATAACAGTTGATATTGCGCTTCCTGCGCATGTACGCATTAATCTGATGTTAACAATATGGGATACGTTTGCTCACACTAAAAGCAACTTTGGTTAAAATTTCAAAGAAATATTTCCATAAATAAGAAAGTTGCCATTGTGCAGTCTGCGCATGCGCACGTGATTTTTACTGTATGCCTTCACTAGAAATATCTGTAGTAAAAATTTCAACAAAATATATTAATAAATAAGACAGTTGACATTGCGCATGCGCACATTAATCTGATGTTAACAATATGCGATACGTTTGCTTACACTAAAAGCATCTGTGGGTATTCAAAAAATACCTCCATAAATAAGAAAGTTGCCATTGCGCAGTCTGCGAACGCGCACAACTGATTTTTACTATATGCGATATATTTGCCTTCGCCAGAAGTATCTGTAGTTAAAATTTCAACAAAATATATTAATAAATAAACTAAACAAATATAGAAAACGAGCTCCTAGGTATGGATATAACATGTGCAACACCAAATTTTAAACCTGATGTTAGTATTGCTTTTATTTAAAGTGTATATGTATATGTTGGCACTGCGCATCCCCAAAATCAAATTTTGAAACTGGCGTTATATTTGCTTTGATTCCAAGTGGCTATGTATCAAATTTCATTTAAATACCTTCATAAATAAAAAAGTTTGCAATTTGGTTTATAAATGGTAGAGATGCGAAAAGGGCACTGTGAAAGTTGATCGATTAGGCTCAATTTTTGGAATTGCGTTTTATATGGCTAAAGCTATACGCATATTGAATTTCATGCAATTCGGTTCATAACACACGGATATGTCAAAGGGGCCTTGTTAAGTGTACACTAAAATCCATGGTAAAATATGAAATGTGCCAACAATGTATTTTGAACTAAGTGAAGTGAGTAACAGTAAGATGAAATGAAAAAAAAATGGCGTAGTTAATAAAAATTGTTCGTTGTATTATTTTTATTAAAAGGTCTTCCTTATTTTTTGGGATACATTGCCAATTCACGAACTCCGATCTACAAATTTGATAAAGAATCCATCTACTAAATTTTATCGTAATCGGTCCATTCGATATCAAGATATCGTGCTAATGGACGGACAGACGGACAGACACCGCAAAATTATAAACTCGCTAGGAGCTCGTTAATAAGGGAGTTGACATTGCGCAGTTTAATTGTCAAAATTTTCCTTAGCTCGGGTGCTAGAGCTATAAGCTACCGAATGCAAAAAGAACGAACTTAATATTTTGAATAGGAGTAGTTAAGGCTCGAGTTAAGGCCTCGGACAGACGGACGGACAGAGAAAGTGGCTGCCATAGCGCACCCAACTTCAATGGAAAATGCGCTAAAAAGGTTTTCGCCTTACGGCAAGTAACTTTAATGCATTTTCCATGAATTAACCATTTATGTGTACAAAGGAAAATAAGTTATGCCATAAATACTCTTATAAATAAGAAACTTGGGCACACCTGATGTTTAAAATATGCGATATGTTTGCCTTTACTACAAGAATCTTTGATTAAAATTTCAAAAAATATCTCTATAAATAAAAAAGTTGACATTACGCAGTGCGCCCGTCTCTTTTTGACAATATGCGATGTGTTTGTGTTTACTAGAAGCATCTGTGTTTAATATTTCAAAAAAATATCTCCATAAATAAGCAAGTTGGCATTGCGCAGTGTGCGCATGCACACAACTGATTTTTAGAATACGCAATATGTGTACTAGCAGCATTACTTAAGCCAGTGTGGCCATATAGTCGTTTTAGTTTCTATTGTATTTGGGAGATCGGCCACGTTTTAACCAAATACACTGGATTAGTAGAAATTAACCTGGAAACCATGGTGAAGAAGTCCTGCTGGAACCAATCATGATGATATTGTAACCATACCAATTCGGTTATCCGGTTGAGCTGAGTGGTTTAACCGAATGGTAATGATATTATTGCCACATTATGAATTGAATTCACCACTTGGTTTCCAGGTTAATTTCTACCAATCCGGTGTAATTTAGTTAAAACATAGCGGATCTCCTAAATACCAACAGAAAAAACCACTGTAGGTATATGACCACACTGTAGATTCAACATGATGATTACGCCCCCTAGCGGTCAAACTGGAAATAATTTCCAAAACTTTCTTTTGACCTATTTACTTACAAAAAATGTTATCACCTGTCTTTTAACGAATAAGTGCCTTAATTGGTCACCATACACATTTGGAAAAAAAAACTAAAACTAATAATTCAAAATTCCAGTGGTTACTAAAACTAGTGAGCCGAATAGATTAAAAAAAATTAATAAAAACTGTGGCACCTCATTTAAATTAATGCAGTGAGTAAAAGCTAAGGTGCTAAAATTTTTTCTTGGTTTCTTGACTACATAGCTACAAATTGCAGGAAAGTGTGAACCTCGGTAATAAATACATAAATCAATCACCCACCTGCCCACCACTTTAGGAAAACACTAAAAATTAATAAAAACATGCTCTCCAATGGACAATATTGCTTTTGGACTTGTAGTGTAGGTTTCAAAACCATACCAAAGTAAGCAAATCATAGCATATTTTACAACCAAAAAAACAAAACTAATATTTACATGAGCATTTACATCACCAAATGAAACCCTCTATAATCTGTTCACCCAACAGATGCAGTTAAGCCACTCCCACTAATTTTGGCCAATGTAATAACAGAACCATTTCACAGTCACAAAGTTATAAAAAGCGGGAAATTTAAAATCGCATGTCACATTGTATGGCTAAGTTATAAAGTGTTATGTTTTGAATATTGACCTTTAAACACACAGCAGTACATAGTTTCAAATTGTTTGTTAAGTTCAAAAGGGTTAGTTTGCTCGTATACATGAAATTAACGGCAAATTCAGGCAAGGCAAATACAAAACGCAATGACAGGTTTGACGTTAAGGATTTTCAATTTAGATACGGAAATTATAATTGGAAGCAAATAGTTGCTTGTTATAGGGTTTGAAAATTCGGCCAATTAAAAATGTTCATTTAAATTTGCCGGGAATTTTTTGGAAGGAGCTTAACTGCATCTGTTGGGAGAACAGATAATAGTGCAAAACATACAAGAGCCATAATTACCTTCACTGGCTCATATTTATTACAATCAGATTCATCACTTGACTCCTCATCACTCTCTACGACAGCATCCTCCAACAAAAGATCATCATCTTCCAATTTTTCTGTGATTTTCTCATCATCTACCACACTTTCACTTAACTTCTCAAATTTGGATGGGGCAGAAGACGCCTTTTTACTGCACAATTTCGCAATTCGTCTATCATAGTCTGCGATACTATTTTGTTGCAATTTTAACTTATTAAGCTTATAATTCAATTCAATTTCCTCCGTTTGCGTTTTAATCCAGTCATTATTCTTGTCCGCATCCAGCTTTGATTTCGCTTCCTCAATCGTCTGAATTTGTAATTCCAGCTCATTACGTTCGCGTTCATTGTGATCCCTCAACCAGTGTAGAGCACCGCAAATTATGCTCAATGACTTCCCCTTAAAATAAAGAGAATTAGAGGCGAATTTTGAATTTAACAAGTGTACGTACTGTACCGGTGGGGCTTTCAAAAATGCCCAATTGTTTGCGTTCGAGAACCTCATACAATTGTCTCATAAATTCATGCTGAATTGAGTACGGTGTGAAAGGAAATTCAAAACATTCCGGTACACCTAAAAATCGTGTTATGCAAATTAGTTGAATCTAATTATACACTTCCTTGAGATTTAAATTTGCACTACTGAAAGTGAAAGTTGACTGTCCTAACTTAGTATGAAAGTAGAAGTGGTCAGAAGAATGGTTAAGATTATTTTAATTGCATTTTTTACTTTACTTAACGGGCATTCAATTTGTCATGCTAAGGTCCTAATGACAAAATTGGTTTATTATAATAAATGTGACATTTGCAGATACATGTTCAAGTTTTGTACGAATCACTATGTCCAGATAGCATTAATTTCGTAATGCAACAACTCTATCCGATATGGAACGAGGTTGCTCCATATGTGAATATTGAATTTGTACCATTTGGTAAAAGCTCGGTAAGTCTTTGACTATTGTGACTGGCACAAATGTGAGTGTGTTATTATAGAGTATAAACGGTGGACAACACTTTATTTGCCAACACGGACCAAAAGAGTGCATGGGAAATAAAATACAATCTTGCGCTTTATCGCTAATACCAGAACAAAATGCACAAGTAGAATACGTAAACTGTTTTATGAGCACATTCAAAAAAGGCATTGATAATGACAATGAGCTAGGTCAGGGGGTAAGTAGAATAATTTTTTTTCTTTGGATTGAATGTAGTCGAATTACACTTCTAAAAGACGTACTTACCCAGCATATCGAGAAAAAATTACTTTTATTTAAGTGTAATCAATTTGTTTGTATGAAAGATAAAGAAATTCAAAACTGTTTACGATACACATATACATTAAAAGTGAGGTTAGAAGACATGTCACAAACAAAATTGGCGCGAGCCGGGAATGTAAACTGCACTGTTGCCAAGTCAAGAAGAAATAGCAAAAACCTTTAGTTTATTGAACTGCTTTTTAAAGTTGCCTATGCAAATACCTATCTGGTCAATGGACAAATAAATATATGCAATCCCATTCATTTACGCTTATAGTAATGTTATTCGGTCACTTAATTTTACAGACAATTTTTCATGAAAATCTGCATAGGAAATAATCTTAGAAAGTTTCTGACATCTTCTTCGGCACATATGTTTTTTTTTGCATTTACAAATTTTAAAAAAGGAGAGACATGAAGCAATGTTTCCGTTTCAAAAAAACTGTACCAAGTTTATCCTTTAAACATATATTATCCCTAGAAAAATCTAGAAGGCGTATGATATTTCAGAGAAAGGATGAGTCACAACCGGTTTCATTCCTTATCGACTTGACAGATCCGGATAGACAGAAATAAGGTACTGCAAAATTATTGACATCTTTCGGATTTTTCTAGTTCTTTGGATACTTATTCAGACTCCTTTCATTCTTCAGGTGTATACTTATATTGTAGTTCTTTACATTCTTAGAATTCTTTCGTTTCTTGGAATTATTCAGTAGCGTGAAACTCTGTAAATTCTTTAGTTTCTTTAGATTATTTTCTTTCTTTTTGTCAACATTTTTCCCGATTTTCCAGTTTCTCCATATTATACTTCCAACACTTTGAATTCCAAAGATCACTTGGATTTTCTTTAGTGTCTTTCTCTATTGTTGGGATTTGTAATAACCCAAGCATCAATTTCTGATTAATAAAAGATTATGGCAATACAAGAAAGTTGCCCACGCCTGTACAAAAGTTTCGCTTAAAAATTTGCACATATAAATTATCTAAATACCCCGTAGATACAACTTTCGCCAAACAAATAATAAAACTCACCTGGACGTCCAAACAGAATAATATTTATTAAGCTAAAAGAATTTTGTTAGAAATAAATGTTGTGTATTAAACCGCCAAAAGCTATCTATAATACATTCTGCCGCTTTCTGATTCTCGCTAGAGTTGAAAAGGCCGGCGTGGATTCACTTACGTACCGTCGTCTTTGTGAAATTTGAATTCCTGCATTTCCCGCGAAATCATTTCCAGTAGTGTAGCATGCGTTTTTCTCATTTTCAAAATTGCCGGGTATGTTAAATCACAAATTTATTCGGTTTTTCGCTTCTCCAGATTATTATTTTACCGGTGGTTTCAGATTCCTCCAAAATTTCAATTGATTTTAATTTTTCTTACGGTTCCTTCAGCATTTTCGGTTTTTTGAGAACCTTCTGATTATTCAGTTTCAAACCTCTTAATACCTTTCGAATTTTTCAGTTTTTCCCAATTCCTCCGATATTTCAGATTCTTATGATTCTTTAAATTCTTCCGTTTGTTCTAATTATTCAAACGTTTTGGATTCTTCATACCCTTTCATTTCATTGAATTCTTCAGGTTCTTCAATGTGTTGCCTTTATGATTGTTTAGGTTATAATTTCAATTCTTTAAATAAATCAGATTTTTCTTTTCTTTGTATTCTTCCGACGTCCAACGTAAATTCCTCAGAGCCTTGATATACAGTGATTCAATTTAATATAATACAGTCACTGTATTATAAATATTATTTATCACTCACATATATGCACAATTTGCCCGAACTATTTATTACTTCTGCATTGAAACTGGACCTGTCTAGAAACGCATTTCAGTCTAATACGGGAAACTCGAGTGTTGTCGAGTGCTTCCGAGTGTTCTTGAATGCTCTAAAACAAAACACGTCATATTTTCTGGACAGACTGCTTGGCAACCGCCTTCACTCTTTATCACCCATGGGCCATGGCTAATCTTTAATGGCGCCTCGCTGTAAAAGTAGCCACACACATACAGTTTTTTGTTCAAGGCAAAACTGTTCAATCTAGGCATTGTGGATTTCCTTTAAATGGGATCATAGACTGAGATTTTGCTTCAGTTCGTGACTCGTATATATAGTAATGGCATCTAGCGACGGTGCTGTTTGGGGGTAATTGGTTTGTTTTTGGTGAAAAAGCGCGCTAAAACTCGTGAAAAAAAGGTATTAAGTTAAGAGAAGTGTCTTGGCGAATTTATTATCAAGAGTCCCCCCTTTGATTAAAACCGTGCTAAAAAAATTACGGTAAATACCAAGCGGGGTACACATGCACCCCAATGTTTTTTTGTGTAAAGTAGTTGTTTTACTTGATACCGTCGTATATCAGAAACTAAATATGTTTTTGTTAAATAAAATCATGTATTTCGAATAAGTACCTATATGTTATTTATTAACAAAATAAACAGGTAAAATAAAAACAAGTAGGTATACATTTTTTTCACCGAAATAGCTTTTGTTTTGACATCACCAATGGATATATTTCTTACGGACGTCTCAATCGCCCTTTGTGAGTATAGTTATAAACTGAAATTGAAGTAGCACGTCAAAAATGGATTGCACATGTGCAACGCTATCTTTCATATTTGTGGCCGGATTTTTACAATTTTGACAAAAGTTGCATCTTACAAATAGGAAATTAATGCAAGTGGAAATGCGCTTTATGTCAATCGTTTACGATTACTTTTTAACTTGCTTTACTTAATTTCATCTCAGCTATGTTTCATAAACATATTTCCAATTTTGATTACAAAAGCTGAAATACATTGCTATTTTTTCAAGTAATTATAAAGATTTTTATATCTCCAAAACGGATTGTCGGAAGAGGGTAGGTACTCACAAAGGGCGATTGAGACGTCTGCAAGAAATATATCCATTGGTATGATGTCAAAACAAAAGCTATTTCGGTTAAAAAATGCGCTTTATCTGCACAAGAGTTGTGCACAATTATACTTGTTTATTCCGGTTGTGGTATTCCTCACACTATTTTCTATTCTTGTTTGACCATATACGACCGTGGTTTGGCCTGTTCAAACAAGTCTGCGCAGTTTTTCACAATTGTTTTTCGAATACGATTTTACGGACTATAGTCCACCGACAGCGACAGCCTGAAGTCTACACCACACACGGTGAGGAAAACCTCAAGGATTGGACTGCGTAGTCCAAACCTATGAGGGCAAACTGCACATGTGTGGCTACCTTAGGTTACTGGGCAGCTCACAAGCCAAATGGAAAAATTAAAATGACAGGGTTTTGACAAGCGTATAATCTTTGTACCATTTTGAAATAAAATTTCAGTTGAATGTTTATAATCTTTTTAAAATGGATTCGAATTTATTTACCTTACCTTTTGACGATAATGAAGACTACCAGAAAACCCTTTGCATCCTTTTTTTCATACTAATTGTGTTCTTTCTTAGTGCGCTGAAAGTCTGGGACTTCCTTGGGGATATGTAGCAAATTGCTATCATTCAACTCACGGAACAAGATTACAACTCGCCGCTGAGAAGGTAACATTGGCGACTCGTCCCAAATTTGTGCCGACCATCATTTATAACGGAGTAAACCTACAATTTTTTATTTTGAATTCGACACTTAATTGATTTGTTTTAGCATTTTGATCAAAAAGCGCAAGATGAAAGTCAATTCAACTTTAAAGGGGTGTTGTGTTCCTTTATAGTACAGTTGTATCCAGGAGTTTGTCAATAGAAAGCCTTTAGGTACAAAAGCTTCTAAGCAAGATAGATGTTTCTTTCTTTTAATAATAAACTTCGGGTATTTTTGTGATATGTACCTACATTAGTGGCCCTTTACCTAATACTAATAATGAGAAAACTTCAGGAAAATATTAGACATGGAAGAACCTGTCCCTATAAGTACTCCGCCTTACCATTAGGTAGGTATACCTGCCAGTAGATATAAGTTTGTTCTCTCATAGTTGCCGATCAGACTAGGACAAGGAAGAACAAGTTTGTATGTGAAAATGTAAAAAATAAGGAAATTAACTTGTATCATTCACGCAATGATAGGGGTTCAGAAACATTGACGTGACTGACATGAAGTTCCGATCGCGTTCTAGACAGAAGGTATCTGATTTGTTTTTGCTGCTTAATTTTATGGATAGAGTATTCTCCGTTTTTGTCATTTAATAATTTTAATGAGCCGATTTTAGCACAAAATTTCAAAGTACTTGTAAGGAATGGAAGGTGAGTGCTCCCAAAACTTTTTCAATTCATGTTAAAAACCAACCAAACTTCAAATACGATATTTACGGAAATGTCAATAATCCAATTCCTATATCTATTAATGTCAAAGCCTGGCACGATATTCAATCTCTTTCTTTTTGCTAAATTGAGTCACGCAAACTTCTTTAGCCGATTAAAATTTCGTAAGGTAGCTTTGGCAGATGTTATAGTGATGTTAAAGAAGAGTAGCTACGACGGTGAGAGCTAGTACTTAACGGTCGTCTCTTTTGCATTTAGTTGCCCATTTTAATGTGTTTTCTTAGAATTTGAATATGTGGTCGAAAGGATTAAACCGCAACGGGTCTGCTTTGGATCTGCAGTGCAGCGAGATACGAATCCAATTGGGAGAGGCATAAGTGCATTTCAAAAACGCTTTGCATACGAACTGAATGATAAGGTTACCCCGCAAACTTACACTTACAACCACTTAACTTCGGGGGTGGCCCGACTGGCAAATAAGGTAAGTTTTGTTAAAGTAAAATTGCATACCTATGAAGAAGTAGCAAACTTAGACAACAAAATCCTAAAAAAATCAAATGGAATGATATGACTTTTTCTTTATGAAAAGGTAGCCAAATAACACCCAAAAAGGTCAGTGGAAACCGTTTTTCAAAATCTCGTACCTAACCTCAAATATTGGAAAAATGAGATTAACTAATAATAAGTGCTTAATTTGTATCTTACCTATTTGACGTATTTCCGGTATTTGTCGATGGCGCGAAAGATTGTTTGGAAAAGGACCGTACACTTTTAGGTAGGCTTTGGAAAATTAAACAAACGAAACACGATGCATTATAAAATAATAACAGCCGTAATTTGTAAATTATTCTGCTGTGTTTACATTCAGAGAGTGCAGTTTTTTGAATTTGTAATCTTTTTTAAAATTCCTATTTCTAACCAAGAAGCATTTAATATGCTGGCGGCGATGGTTCGTGGTCGATTCGGATAACGCAAATAGAAGATGCGGGCAGCGATGGTCGCATTTTGAAAACACTCAATATATATCGCCAGCATATTAAATGCTTCTTGGTTTGAAATCGGCATTTTAGAAAAGATTACAAATTCAAAAAACTGCACTTTCTGAATGTAAACACAGCAGAATAATTTACAAATTACGGGTGTTATTATTTTATGCATCGTGTTTCATTTGTTTAATTTTTCAAGGCCTACCTAAAAGTGTAGGGTGCTTTTCTTTTCAACCATACCAAATTTGTTAAAATCGGTCAAACGGTTAAGAAGTTAAAGCAGGTTATTGCAAAAACAATTGAACGCCCCACACTATCTTTGTTTGTGAAATAACTGAGTTTTTGTTTTTACGAAAATGATAGATAAACTGGTCCTCTTTAAAAATGTGAAAAAAATTTTTTTAGTTTATTATGCGAAATTTAAAGAAAATGCAATTTTAAAATTTAAGATGGCAGTTACGCCCTCTGTTGGTCATTTTTAGAACTTGAAAATATTTTCCAGCGATTCTTCATGACCGATTTACCTAATAATTTTTTTAGCCATAAGTCATATGACGAACGGTTCTCGAGATATGGCCTAGGAACAGTCTTATTTGGTCACCCGGTACAGTATCAAAAGTGGTCTCTTATACTCCGATACTACAATACCATTTTTTCTCGTTCAAATAAGGCACGGTCCGCATGATTAGTTAGGACACCGGGTTTCCCCAAATTAATGGATTAGAATTGTCAGTGTTAAATGGGGTGGTTCGATTAGAGAGCTGGTATTTCAAAATTTGTTATTCTAAATTTTTTTTGGTTAATAATTTTCTAAATTAATTAAGTGCTGTTTATTTCTGCAAGGCGAAGGACAACATACGTCATGGGATGTTTTAATGGCGCGATATAAATTATCAGTCGCTAGCTTGGCGCAGGGTTAAAGCTCAAGTTCACAGAAATCCCTTATAAGATAGAGACTTGCGTTGGAAGTTTAGAGTAGCCCAGGCCAAATTTCATTGTAAAAGCAGTTGTAAGAGTTCGGTTCCAGTGTCGCTCTTCAGGACTCTATTAATATTTTATATACTGTCTAAGCAGAAGCTTAGTTCTTGCCTTTTCTGTAAAAGAACAATATCGCACAATACGAATTATTCCCGAGCACACAAGCTGGGGAATTACCCAATTCCAATCTCTATAGTAAGAAAAAGAACAAGTAGGTAGATACGCGACGGCATAAACTTAAATTTCCGCAATAAACAACTTTGTGTGCAAATAATACGTTGCAAATCAACTCGATCGTTTGGATATTCTGCAACATTGTGCATTCCCGTGAATTTTGTAAACGAAAAGGCCTCCTTCCGATTACGAGCCAGGGTTAAACGACGTCTATTTTGGGTTCCATTCCACAAATCCTAAAATAGTGTTTCAGTTATCCAAAGTTGAACTGATCGAGGGGTAGATTTAGACGCCATACAAATAAGGTAAGTTGTATGTTTGTATTGATGTTTCAATAAATCAATACGGGCCGTGTGCTTTTAGAAATGAAAAAAATCCAATTTTTCCTTTGTAACTGTGTGAAACGTTTAAAAGGGTTTCTCCATTCAAATTAATATTTGCGTATGAATTATCTATACAGGGTGTTCCTATAAATATGCAGAAGGCGCTAATTCTTATTTTATGTCTAAAAGTTGATATAAACATGTCAGCAAACGCTTCGTTACCAATCTAAAGGGTGTTATAATTTTACGATTGCATAATATGCAATAATAGGTATATTATACCTAATTACATATGCAAACACAAGATACAATTTGAAACGCGAAACGCAAAAAGTTTTAAGAAACCAGCAGTGCACCGATGTAAAGTGTAAGGGTAGAAAATAGAATATGCCCCTGAGAAAACATTACCGTATAGATTCTCGCTAGTCGCTACCATTAACAATTAAGACCAATGATGTAAGCTCTTCTGTGTAATTAAAAATTTGAACGAAATATTTCAAAAACTGCAGGAGATGTAAAGAAAAAACACTTTCAAATCGGTAACAAAGCGTTTGCGTAGACCTATGTTTATATGAACTTTGAGTCATAAAATTAGCCATTTCCGTATATATACATCATATTTAGGAACACCTTTTGTATACAGGGTGACAATTTGAAAACTTACCACCTCCCGTATCTTAGTAAATAAACGAGATATTTAAAAAAATCAAAATCCGTTTCGGTAATTTGGAGGGGGAATCACAATGACATAGTTGGCGACGCACCCCCTCACACCCCCTGCGCCCCAGCCACCCCAACTTTTAAATCTTAAATAGTGACCCCCCATGTGTGATACGTCGTTGGAAAGCTCTGAAAAAATGCTTTCCAACCATACCAAATAGCATTACATTTAGGTTAGTAATTATCGTGCAAATCAAAAAATAAACTAATATGATACATTTGAAATCTGTCGTATTTAAAACGCAACCGGCGAACATAGACGAACTAAGACAGAGAATAATTCAAGAATGTCGAAATATTGCAAAACCAACATTTGAAAAGGTTCGACAAGAGTTTGAGAATAGATTATAACTGGCGATCAAAAATGAGTTGCTGTCAAGTCGGCTTTGGAAGTTCAAGTTAAATACGATTTTCCATGTTTATTTTTTGATTTACACGATAATTACTAACCTAAATGTAATGCTATTTGGTATGGTTGGAAAGCATTTTTTCAGAGCTTTCCAACGACGTATCACACATGGGGGGTCACTATTTAAGATTTAAAAGTTGGGGTGGCTGGGGCGCAGGGGGTTGGAGGGGGTGCGTCGCCAACTATGTCATTGTGATTCCCCCTCCGAATTACCGAAACGGATTTTGATTTTTTTAAATATCTCGTTTATTTACTAAGATATGAGGGGTGGTAAGTTTTCAAATTGTCACCCTGTATGTGTAAAAGTGAAGGTTTGCAAATTGTGTAAAAGGAGATATTTCATATTTTTACATTGTTCATTTAAGGGGTTGTTTAAATTACCTATTACGATAGAACAATGGCCACGTACAAGAACTTGGCAAACATTTTGGGATACTGGATGTTTCTACAAACATAAAATTGATTTTTTTGGAAAACTAATAATATACTTACAAAATAGGAAGATCGATATTGATTTAAATTCTAAAGTATTTTTCAATTTGTGTATACCTACCTGATTTACTATCAAAGTGGTCGAAGGCGAAAGAGATCAATTTTTGAGTTTTCAGGTAAAGTAAAATTCATTTAGTTTTGACTAAGGGAATTGGATCAAGGTAGTTTTAATTAAGTGAACTAACCGTGGGTACATTTTGGGTCACTTTATCGTAAAGCGAGTCAAAATTTAAATAAAACGTTCAGAGATTGGTCCACCTTGAAATGTAACCTCTGTTACAATTAATCCATCCGCCGGCCCCTGGGCAATTAAAAATAGGGGTAAGAATTCATTTTTATAAGCGCACTTTTAAAGATTATAAAAACTTCTAGACGAAATTAAAATTTTTGGGTCAGCTGTTCAAGCCTCCTCCCTCCCCCCGCCCCACGTGAATGGTTTTGAAAACGTCAATAAATTCGTGCGACTACACACAATTTGTGTTAAATCAAGTAACGTTCATTAGTTATTACTCCTGCTTAATTTTGGTTTTCTTCGGTGTCGCATTTTTATTAGTTGGCAGTTTTTCTCATTTAATTGCTAGGCAACAGATTTTCATTACCTACCTAAACACACGTCCTACCCTACCTTTCATGGTATTGTAATGAAAGGTCTCATCTAAAGAAAGTGGTTTCTACAAACTATAATTACTGATGTTTTCTGCCATTCATTTTCGTGATCAGTGGGTGACGAGGGGGGAGAGGAGATATTGGTTTTATCTTTCATGGTACTCTAATTAAAGGTCTCAACGAAAGGAACTGTCTTCTACCAATTATCGCCCTTCTCTCTTAACTCTTATCAAGATTGTGGAGGAGGGAGGGACTTTATATTCTTCATGGTATTCTAATGAAAGCTCTCAACGAAAGGAGCTAACATCTCGATCGGGATTGGTTGTAATCCCTTATATAGAAGATGCTCAAATTAGCCATATATGTTGTGTTGTCTAGACTATTGTCTAAATTACACGCATTAAGCACAAGCCGGGTTTTCATTTAAAATCCTGGATGCTAGAAATTTCCGCTTTATCTGCATAGAGTTATGTGTACAATTTGTATAGGCACCTACTTGTTTACTAACGTACCATTCTGACTCAATTAGTGCTGATTAACGCGAGGGTTTAATATAGAATATTTAATCACAATATTTTCTTTTTTAGGTGAGAAGTAAAAAAGGTGTAAGTGGTCTGTGCAATGGTGCTGAGAGGTTTCCGAATAAAATTTTTATGCGAATACCGTCTCCTACAAGATACACTACAGAGCCATTTCAAAAAACCTTTAAGCAGAACTTTGTGCCATTCAACAAAAAAGTAGGAAGAAAACTCACCAGTTTATCACGGACTCCAGGGTTAGTATTCCCACAGATTCTGTGGCATTACTATGGATACCTACCACATTTTTATCCGTCACACAACCAACGATTATGTTCAAAAAGTGGTACAGGTAGAAGTTATTTTTCACCGATTTCCTTGCTCCTTTGAAATTCATGCTAATATCTATCTATCATGTAGCGGAGAAGCTGATTCCCATTAACCTTCCTCCCTTAACAGAGAAAATCTCTACTAAATCTGGTCGATACTCGATAATAAAACTAATTTACCCAAAATCGTCCTGAAACCTTATCATTTTCATGCCTACTTTCTGTCAGGAAACTTTAGTTTCCATGACAGAGGCAGAACAGACTACGTTTCCTGCCGCTTGTCACTTTACTAGCCGCACCTGTCACTTTACCGCCCGCATTTGTGACATTTCCAAATGTCTATGCACAGAATAAGACCTTCACAGAACAGAAACATAAATGGCGCTAAATTGTCACTGATTACAGCGTTTCCCGTGGTTGTACGGAGAACTATTTATCGCAGACTCAAATATTTTTTTGCAAAACCTGTAATTTTGCTCGTTACAGGAAATATTTTTATCGTCGATTTTATACGTATACACGGTTTTACACATGTCAATTTTGACTTTTGAAAGATTTAAAGTATGAACAAGTTATGTGACCGTAAAAAGTGTGATGTGGCGGATTGTAACAATAAAATATCAAAAAGGCATCGTTTCCCACATTTTGAAACATATTTTTTTGTGCTTGAAACGCGAAGAGGGTTGAAATGTGCTGTTATTTCTTTCCTTATATTTATGCAAGCACAGATCTACACATACACAGATTGCTAACCTTATGCATTTTTTGGGAAACAAATTTAGGTATACTTAAAAGCGCCCTCTATTGCGGAGCAGTAGAAACATGTACCGTTTAAAACTGTAATATGACGCTTATGGATTTATGCATAGATGTCGCTGCAAAAAATTTAAAGCGGTAAAATGTGCATATAATCCAGTTTAATTGTATTTTTACCAGGAAAGTTGTGGGGTAGTTTTGATTTCTTTGATTCTATATGTTTTTTGGGGTGCCGAATCCGAATCCGAGGTTTGCTAACAAAATTTCATGACGCAACATTGAAAAAAATACAAAAAAGTTGAAAAGGATATTTTTTTAGCAGTTTTGTGCTTACAACTGGAAAACTATCAACTTTTCGAAAATAACCTCCCTATCTTATATCTTATCGACGTGGTAAAGAGTGTAACGTTAATGATGGCAGAGATATACATAGTTTGTAAGTATGCCTTTCCGGTTAGCAATCTGTCAAGACCTTTAAAGCCGCAAATAGTTTCCGCCAACTTCAAAAAACCTTCACGATTCTTTAAGAACCTGCCCTATGTTCGTGTGTATCTGTGACCACAGGGACCCGCTTTTAATATCTCCCTTACGACGAATGAGTAGCTCCAGTGTTAAATTAAACCATTATGGCTCAACGTACCTCCTATCATATCATACCACTGTAATAATACGAATATTAAGGAATTCGAATTGTGCAAACTTTAATGTTGTTTCAGCGACATCTAACGCATAAATCCATAAGCGTCATATTACAGTTTTAAACGATACATGTTTATACTGCTCCGCAATAGAGGGCGCTTTTAAGTATACCTAAATTTGTTTCCCAAAAAATGCATAAGGTTAGCAATCTGTGTATGTGTAGATCTGTGATGCAAGGTAAGTAACAGGTACAAATTGACGCAGAATTATTACCAACTGTACCTATAGGCGCAAAAGGGTGTAGACTTGAGTTTTATATTTATATAGACGTAGATACTTATATTGCAATTCGTTTTAGATAATTCAACAACTTCCACCCTCGCTTCTCAAGTAACAAGTAAGCACCAGGATCAAGTTAACATTTGTTGTCAAAAACTTGTGTGACAATTTGCTGAAACGGTTTTATTACCTCTTGGAACAAAAAATTTAGTTCTAAAGATATTTTTTATCAAAAATATGTAGTCCAAACAGCAATTAAAACCAAATATTTCGTACGACAAATCGTTACGTAAGGATCTTTTTGCAAAGTGTTAACATCTACAAAGCGTAAGTTGCACTTACTTCTGAGTTTTATATGTAATTTGAAAACATGTAATTTAAGATGTCTGTGTTAAATAATGTAATGTGATTGTATCTAAATACACTTGCAATTTAACAACTGTGTATTTTTTATCGATATTTATGATTTAGATCGAATTGGGGAAATTACTTCATGGCTTTAGAAGCTGGTCACCAGATGGTGCTACTCTGATTTTTGAAGCTTTAGTTCACAGTACACCCACCAGGGTCCGCCAAAATACCATACAAATTTGTAACATTGCTGTTTCTATTCTGAGAAGGCCGTATTCTGTGTGTCTATGACTCCTGTCAACACTAACAGATTGACATTAATCAAAAGTTCTACTCGTATATAAAAATTGAAATTTTATATTAAAATACTATTTCGGGTAAAATTTAATACAAAACTCGTCAGTAAAATGACATTACCTGACTCGGAAATTAAAGTACTCGGCCCCAAAGAGCCCTCGCACTTCAATATCCTCGCCAGTAATGCATCATTTTCCTGACTTTTATGTACTTAAATAACTATTACAAGTGCTGCCACCAGAAGTCTCGCTGCCAACCTGAATGGCGAATAAGTAGGTACATGACTGCGCATGGAAGCATTATGTTGAGACCCAGCACTTTCCCGTTATTATATTTACTTCTCATGCGTCACTTGGTCTTTTATTGAGCACTTAATTGACGGTACCTAATTACATTTGTACGCAGTTTTTGATGTGCTCAATATAATCGATCCATTATTGCTTTTACTAAAAGGTGCTGCTGTTAAAATTTCAACAAGAATAACAAATTAGAAAGTTAGGTACTTCTGCGCATGCGCACAGGGATATGGCCTGTCGGTCTGAAAATGAAAAGTTGCCGTCTCGGTAAGTAATATGCTTACAAAAATCGATTTTGGTAAGAGGGGGCGAAGGAGACAGTATAAGTACCATCTTCCTCGACCAAAGTCTTTATGTGCATGTGAAGGGCCTCAGACCGCAGATTTTTTTTGTACTCCCACGTAGGAGTACACCACCTAGATTTGAGAATACCTTATGGATGGCACAGATTGTGCTTATGGTAATGGCCGGCTTCCGTGCGGAAAAATATCTCCGCTCGTTTGTTCCTCTCTGGAATTAAACGAAACAAACAAATAAATCCACGCAGAAAAAATAAGTATCAAAAACATGAGGCCCTGCCTTAATCTAAACACAGCTTGCCTAGTTTCCGACCTACCTGCAGTCTGCAGTGTACCAAATTTGAGCTTTTATATGTCAAATCGTTATTGGGCTATCGTCTTGACGGGCGGCCGGAGGGACGTTTCCACTTTTTGACGTTAGATATTGAGAATACATTACCATATTGGATTTACCAAAGGAGGACTATAGCTACTTTACCTGTTCATGCTTTTTTTTAGAGATGCGCAAATAAAAAGCTACGAAATTCTCATTATTTATTATAAAACATATTACCTATAGTATAGGTATTTATTATTAACTTTTGTGGAAACATTCATTTTCCTGGAATTTTGATCACATGTAATTCCCTAATAAGCGATAGCAAAGATAGTTACTCTTTGGCGATAGGTACCTATAGCAATTTATGATACAAAAAACGTGCGATCCCATCTTAAGCAGACACATCCATAGCAGCACTCTGGTCTTCCTTTGCTTCATCTTGCTGTCGTTCCTCCGTTGTTTCAGGTGGTTTATTTTGTTCACTCGCCTTAAATTGCCCTTCTTGACCTTCCCCTATTCCATCAGACGTTTCATTTTGTTTTTCTGCCTGATCATGTTCTTCTTGTCCTTTCTCTACTCCTTCAGATGGTTTATTGGGCTTCCACGTATATATTGTTTTTCTTGCGGGCAATACAAAACCTAAAGTTTTGGACAATAATTTGTAAGTGCTCGGCGATCGTTTAAAAATAGTTAAAGCGAGCTGTTTTTCAGATTCTGTCCACGCCGTTGATTTTCTATGAATAAGTTGCATGAGTACGAACGTTTTGACCGCTGGAGGTTTCGAATCTAAAGTTTCGTAAAGCGTTTGATTGAAATCGGGCCTATGCCTCAGTCGCCAAATTTGCGTTCTTAATTTACTATTCGTCTGTTTCAATTTTGCATATCTCTCCTTTAACTTATAATATTGATGTGGAAAGATAAACTTGAGTTGAGGGCGTTTCATGGGAACCGAAATGTGATTAATCACCCCAGGTTCGACTTCCTCCTTTATTTCCTCCATAACAGCTCCGTTTTGGTTTGCGGTGGCGACTAACGGTTGGCTTGTAATGGCCGTGGAAAGTGTATGTTCACCTGATGTGTTGCTGGTAGGAAATAAACGAATCCCATTTCCCACATGGATAGAAGCGTGATTAAAGTCGAATGGGGGAAGAACCTTAATGGGATCTGCCGATGTATCACAAGGCTCTTGCTTTATTTCGTTCATAGCGACTTCCTGTTCATTGGAGAAATTGGGGCATTTTTCTTTAGATGTAATTTGGGAGAACCGTTTATTAACATATGTTCTGAGTGGTGTCGTCATCACCATAGTCTCTAAAAGTAAATAGTGTCAAATGTAAACAGATCATTTTTGTATCATTTATATAATCAATTTTTTTAAATTAATACACAGCTTGGGAACATCGGAAACTACAAGAGATCCACATTTGGTTAAATTAGAAAAAAGTTGGGTAGTTGCTTAGATGATGTTTTAAAAATTCAGAAATTACAATCAGTTCCGAAGATTTTCGAAAAAAGCCGGGATTAACCGTATTAGTTTATATTTTTTCTGACCGTTTGAAAAAACATCAAAAAACAAAAGCTCAACAAAATTGTGCCCACAGCCTTTTGTTCTGACTTAAATAATAATCAATTTTTAACATTTTGGTGTAATAAACGTTGACAGAATAATTCATTGGTGGTTCATTTAAATGACATAATAAAGTTAAAGAATCATAACAAAAAATTATACTCAATACCGTATGTGGTTTTTTCCGGTCCATATAAAAATATGAACTTGATGATGGTCTCCCAAAGACGAAACGTCGCAGTGAAAATCTGTGAGTACCACCCTGTAGGTAGAGCTTAAAAAGTGACTATTAAGAAGTGTTATTTCTTCTTGATATCTTTTCAAACAGGGTCAGAAAAAATAAAAACGGATATGGTTAGTTTCGATTTTTTCCGAATATCTTCGGCACTGATCGGAATTTCCGAATTTTTCAAACATCATTTTACTAAAGCCCTAAAATGAATTTTTTTTTAATTTAACCGATTTCCTCATGCTGTTCATTCTTATCTTGAGCACACTGTAAAGGTGTGGTCGCCTAATATAAATACACGAGTGAGGCCAAATTTTGTAACCCTTTTCAATTCAAATTTGAGGTACATTCGTACATATACCGTGCGTTCAACATAAGGGGGTCAGCGCAATATCTCTTTTATTTTGCGAGATACGAAAAATTTGTCAAACATATACCTATATGTACCTCGTATGTGACATTATGATCTATCCGATCCTCGATCCGATCGCGTATTGAAACTTGCGGCATCACTTCCGATTAACAGGAAATCGATGCAACTTTTGTTTTTCAAAAGTATCTTTTGAAAACACCGAAAGTTCGGTACCTATATTGACGTTTATGTTAACTTATTTATCCTCAAAAGTGTTAATTAAAGAATAAACCTAATTATCTCCAATGATGTTTTTGTGCTACTTCAAATTTTAAAAAAATTTAAAAAATAGTAACTTTGGCAGATATTCCATTAATTGATCAGTACTTCCAACTTGATGTTTAAAATATGCGATATGCTTCTCTTTACTAGAAGAATCTTTGGTTATAAATTCAAAAAAATTACTCTATAAATAAGAAAGTTGACATTGCGCATGCGCAAATTAGTGGTCGAGATTTTTCTTGGGTCTGATGGAAGATATATAAACTCCTAAATTGAATGCAAAAAGATCGAACTAAATGTCTTGAAAACTCTAAGAATAGTTAATAGCGCCTTCCAACATGAGTTTGAAAAAGCACTAAAAAACACCTAACTAACTACACCGGTCGCAAAACTATATATCTACCTGGTCAGTTCATAAAATTCTGAAAAAAAAAACAAGTTTTATTTATTTATTTAAAGAACCCGGCTGGTTTGTGTGGATGTGGGTGCGTATGGGTGGATTTATGTCAGAATCTATTCAAAGAAGTGATAGACCTTACCTCGGACCCTACTGTAATCACATGTTCTTTGGAGAATCAAGTAGACGACAAAGGGGACATGCTGCTATAGACGAAGAAAATTTGTACTTTCAACAAGATCAGAATCTCCTTCATTTTATGCCCTCGCTGTAGCGGCTTAACCGACGGTATCCTATTAAATGGATTGGCGAAGGAGGTGCTACCTAAAATGGGCACCGCAGTCTCTTGTATTCGCTCGATTTCTTTGTTTCTGGACATTGGAAAGCTTGTCTGCTGGGACTCCACCTGATAATATTCAGGTGCTAAGACACAAAACATTTCAACACACACTGTATGTGTCTGTGTACTGGTAGATACCATTTTTAACATTTAATAAAATAAATCTTATACAATCAAAACGTGGAATGTGTAAAAGCCATTTATTTTGTTTGTTTGTTCGCGTTTTAAAATTAATTTATAACCAGACCATCCAAATTGAATTTTTTTGGTATTTCCGGAAAGATACTTTTATGACTTTTAAAAATATCTCCCTCTCCCTCTCCCCCTCACTCGCCCTGTATATGTAGGGGTGCGAGGGTAAACTACGGTAAACCTAAACTCCCTCCTAACTATTTACATTCCAAATGGATGTGTTTCTAACATACCAATTTCTAAAACTAAAAAACTAAAGAAATTATCTGCAGTATGCCCCTTTACCGTTACATCTTTTCATCTCATTCGAGTAAATAATCATCTACCTACATAAAAACCTATAGTTATCAGAGCGCGCGCAACACAAACGGATACTGAACTATACTAACCTGGTGATGGTGGGGAATCTTCTCTATCTGATAAAGGTTCCTCTTTGGGTATTACTGGAGTCATTTCCGTTTCAAAGGCTGAAAAATAAATATTCTTTAAACGATGGTTATAATGTATCCAACGGTAATTATACTCATCACTTCTTTATACAGGGTGAACATTTTGTCTGGAACACTCGATATATCTTCAAAACAAGATTTTTTTAAAGAAACTTTATGGCATCCAAAATGATAAAAACAGCAAATATGCGTACTTTAAATTTGTGGCCAGTGACGAACTTTGGTTAGTTTGGATGTAGTAACATCAAATATTAAAAATGTATAAGTAAATCTATATGCTTTAAAATTATTTACAGTGGCGTGCGTATACAGAAATAAGAGGGACTATTTTTTAATAGAAAGTACTATCATTCGTGGAGCATTATTAAAGAAAGAACCTAAATGAACATCAAAATCATGATCAGATTAGTAAAATTATAAAATTAATTAACACAATTTTTGCCTTAATTTAAGTTATTTCTCTTAAATTTGAAATTATAAAAGCTAAAGACCGTATTATCATTGAACTGAATGATAAAAATACCATTTTGAAAGACTTTCTGAAGCATCTAAAATCAAATTCAAGTGCTACTGTTAACCAAGATAAGTCGACCCAAAATCGCTTTAACTACTTACTCGAATGCCTTAACTAACAGTAATAAATCACGTCTTAAAACTACGGGTAGTTCTCTGGAAGACGAACTTTCAAAAACTAACATCCCAAAAGTTAACAAAAAACCTGACAATGCTCATTCTGTGCAACTTTTACCTACCTGCCCAGTGGCATCCACTTCCGACAAGCAATCAAAAATTCAATCGCGTGAACATAAAACTGACAACCCTACGGACGGCTATACCCTTGTTCAAAGCAAGAAACCCTCAAGAAACTCCAAATCAGTAGCAGTAGTTGGCACCAGCAGCACCTCCAAAGTGAAAGCAGTTCCAAAAAAACATTCAATTTTTGTATCTCGCTTATTCCCGTCTACCACTGAAGAAGATATCATTAACTTCTTGCAAGATAAATTTCCTGAAGTGAGCTGTGAACAATTGACGTCAAAATATCCCGAAAGCTACTCTTCTTTTAGAGTTTTAGTCAGTGAACACAACTACGATGCAGCTACGAATCCTAGCATCTGGCCGATGGGAGCATTAGTCAAACAGTTTTTTCGAGGCAAAATTTTCGCCAAAAATTCCCAAGAAGTTGAGGAACGGACTGAAAATACTCAACCTAAATGTGCGTAGCTTAAAACGCAAAATAGACATGTTAGAGGTGTTCTTAATTTCTGTAAAAAAACCCTGAGGTAGTTTGTTTAACCGAGACGTGGCTCAGTGCGGAAGGAATTGAATGTTTAAAAATCTTAAACTATAACACCATTAATTCCTTTTGTCGAAGCGACCGTCGCGGCGGCGGGACCGTAGTGTTAGTGCGTAATGACTATAAGTGTACCGTTACACCGATAAATGTTCCTATTATCAACGAAATGTCGTTTGAGGTGACCGGTGTAAAACTGGTAAATGATAATCTATCATTACTTTTATTTAGCTTATATCGACCACCTTCTAATGACGTCAGGTTGTTTATAAATCAGCTCGAAAAACTTTCACATTATTTTGTAAATAAAAATGCACTAACCTTTATTTGTGGGGATTTCAACATCAATTTATTAGAAAAGAACGCTCAAGCCGGCGACTTCATAAACACCTTCTCTTCATTTGGACTGCATCCATGCTTTCGAGAATGCTCACGTTTGCAGGGCCCCTCTAGGACATTGATTGATAATATCATTACAAATCATGATATGACTCAAATTGCTTCTCAAACTGTTGGCTGTTACCTATCTGATCACTTTGCGCAAGTTATCGATGTCACTTTACCAAACCATATAAACCTATATCCAAGTACCATGACGTACACAAAAAGAAACTTTAGGAAAGACACTAATATAGCGCATTTTAAAGAGTTGTTTGCAAGCGAAAAATGGGACTCTGTATTCGCCCAGCATACCTTGGATGACAAATTTTCCAATTTTCTAGAGAAATTCCAATATTATTTGGACAAGGCATTTCCGATTGAAAGCGTGCACAAGAAGGCAACGACAGCATGTAAAACTAAACCTTGGATCACTAGGGACATCATAAATAGAGGCTCCCTTCTGCGTGAAATCTCTCTTATATGCAAACGTAGCGGTGACGCAAACTTAAAAATAAAATACAACTTACTCTACAAACACCACAAGGAACAGATTGAATCTGCAAAGAAACAATATCACGACTCTATCTACGAGAACGCTCCAGTGAAGTCCAAATGCGCGTGGAAAATAATCTCGCAGGAAACCAAATGCCCCTCTAAGCATAGTGAATATCCGAAAGAATTCCGAGATGCCACAAACAACACTTTAGTTGGATATGCGGCCATCGCGGAGAATTTCAATACCCTTTTTATTTCCTCAGTAGAAGAGCTGTCTAGAACCACAAACCCTACAACTTCCAACATCGCTATCGGCACCAACTGTAAATACACCTTATTCTTAAAACCCATCGATGAATTAGAAACTGAGAATATTATTAGGTCAATCACCAATAAGTATTCTGCAGGAAGTGATGGAATTCCTTGTGCTATTTTGAAGGACATTACTAGCGATATTACACCCGTGTTGTGTCACCTAATAAATACATCTTTTGCAGATGGAACATTTCCAAAAGTACTAAAAACTGCAATTGTGATTCCGGTACACAAAAAAGGCGCCTCAAACGAATTTGGAAATTACCGACCCATATCTTTGCTATCTGCTTTCTCAAAAATTCTTGAGAAAGCGTTTTATGCACGATTAATGAACTTCTTATTACGCCACAATTGTGATCCTGTATCCGCATCAATTTGGTTTCCGAAGAGGATTATCCACCCAAGATGCAGTCCTTTCATCTGTACGCTGTATCTTCCGAAATCTCGAATTAGGGAAAAAAGTCACTGGACTTTTTTTTGATTATTCTAAAGCATTTGATGTAGTAGATCAAAAACTCCTTTTACATAAACTACAACACTACGGAGTCCGGGGTATTGCTTACCAATGGATAGTTTCTTATTTAACCGGACGATCACAAATTGTCTCTATAGCGGCGGAAGGTAGTAAGTACAACTCGTCACGGAAAGAAGTGTGTATTGGTGTTCCTCAAGGAAGTACTCTAGGGCCTTTACTTTTTGTCATTTTTTTAAATAATTTAATAGACTCTTTCAACAATAACATTGAACTTCTGACTCTATTTGCGGACGACACTTCAGCGTTAATTACAGCTGATACGGTACAAGCGTCAACTGAAGGTGCAAACAGGTGCGCGTTAAAAATGGCGGATTATTGTCACCGAAATGGACTTATATTAAACAGTGAAAAAACTAACCTAGTGACTTTTTCCACCCAAGTGCCTAATTACAGTCTTTTAGTCAGACTTGACAATAAATGTATTCGCCAACATCAAACCATGAAGTTTTTGGGTATATTTATTGATTGCAATCTCACGTGGCACTCGCATATTGACTACTTGTGCAATATTTTGTCAAAAAAATGTTATGTGCTATGGCGCCTCCGTCATTCTGTTACTCTTAAAATATTGCTTAATTATTATTATGCCCACGTACACTCTATAGTGTCTTATGGTGTGGTACTTTGGGGTAATAGCTCGAAACTTAACAGCATCCTCATTATACAAAAGAGAATGCTACGGATAATTTGTTACAAACCTTACGGCTACCCATGCAGACAATTGTTCAAGGACTTGCACGTACTTACAGTGCCCTCTGTATATATTTTGCAGTGCGCGATCTATGTCCGTAAACATAAAATTTACCTCTCCACCGATAGGCAGGACAAATACGATCTACGGCGGGACGACCATCTACCGATACCGGCCCATAAATACACCTTGTCGGCAAAAAATTGTTATATCATGCCTATAAAAGTGTACAATAAATTGCCTAGAAACATTAAAAACATTTTATCAGCTTCACATTTTAAAAACTCGGTGACAAAGATGCTAATTGAAAAAAGTTATTATTCCCTTAAGGAATATTTTGATGACAGATTATAAACTAATTCGAATTTGTATGCTCTATTTCTTTTGTAATTTGTGTTTACTGACTGTATTTTTATTGTAATGACTTATCCCACAACGATCAAGTTCAAGGGACGAATAAAATTATTATGGTCGGTGTTTCTTGTGAGAACTCAGGTCTAGCCTGGTTAACTAATCGCACGGATTAAAATCAAGTAACGATTAGTGTCTGTGTCTGTGTCTGGTGAAGTTATGTAGGGTTCTAAAGAAAAATAAAAAATAAAATAAATATTCACACACTCACATTGGACGAATAAAATTATTATTATTATTATTATTATTATAAATTTGATTATGTAATATAATTAGTCCTTTATGCTGCTATATCTAAACAAGTAAACAGGTTTTCGCCCTAAGGCGAGTAACTTTACAGCATTTTCCATGCATTTATCAGTACTTCCCAAAAGGCTATGGCTATGGTCTCGGCTATGGTTTTCTATCTATGGTTAAAATTACGCTACTGACTAATCAGTTAAATTACGTAGATTGGTAGTAAATTTGTTATAATATTGGATACCATAAAGTTTCTTTAAACAAATTGTTGTTTTGAGGAACCATATATCCAATGTTTCAGATAAAATCGAGGATAAAATGTTCAATCTCAGTTCAGTTGACTTGACTGAATTAATAACTTTGGTTGGCTGTCAGTTAAGTGAGCTGCAGTGGTACAAGTAAGTTAGTCTCTCATATAATAAAAATGAAAATAAACCATAGTTAGAAAGAGAAAAAACCATCATTTTGAATTTGATTTTTGGAGTATCGAAATAACCTTTCATATTAAATGTTTTATTATTTACTTCTTTTTGGAAAGCGGCATGACTACATAAAAAGCGCATGAAAATTACCTACATATTAATATCCTGATATTCAACAACGGACAATAGACTATAAAAAGTATTAAGAAGTGCGACTGTATGTTAAACTCAACAGCCCTAATTAAATAACAATTACAGTCCTGACTAGGATTTGGACTGCAAACGTCATTTTTGGCAAAAATGAAATTATAATGTATGTTAAAAACAATTTCATAATATTCCGAAGTCTCCTTTTGGAGATTTAGATAGCCGGCATTTTCTATAGAACCGCTTTGTATATTGTTGTGAGACCTAACCTTCACTTCTGGGAATCCCACGATTTACCTCTAGCTAGCTCAGTTGTAAATAAAATGAAAACAAAATTTTTCCCGCATCTCAAGGTCCAGCTGGATTCTGCCACCCCACAGCATTCCAACAATGACATAAATAGGTGGCTTAACCAAATCCTTAAATTCCAATATGAAACTTTACCCCCAGATTTAATAAACTTGAAACAAAGTAAGAGACGCCGACAATTACCTCTCCTTGACTCTAATAAACAAAACCTGGATTGCAATGACTGGTTTAATTTCAAACAAAAAATTGCGTAAATTACTGTTTTACAAAATGTTACAATTTTAAACAGATAAATGACACACACAAAAAAAAACAAATTACTCAAACATTACAAAAAAAAAACATGACAAAACAAAATACTAACTACTACTTACTTTTAAAATTAGTCCGAATAACGTATTCCGATAAAAAGAGGTATCCGTACACAATCACGTAAACCAACCACTCAAACACCGACGTCTTCTCTCTTCGGGTACCCACAAATTCAAAACTTCCGTGTTTCCGCAAAATAAAACAAACAGGACGGCGACAAACTTCTTAAACTTCTCAAAAATTCTTCTTAAAACGGCAGACACAAAAATTCTAATTAAACCTGGATCCAACTACGCAGGAAAACTTCCACAAAATTCAAAAATAACGTAACCGAAGAAGCGCCGGTTGGCTTTGTAACGACCAAAAAGCCCCGCTCTCTTCCAAAATTTTCCTATTTAAGCCAAAAGCCCTTCTCCTTTCTTCAACATCCCGTCCGCCAATCACGCGAAGCGTCGATTTTTCAACTTCTTGCTAAACGGCACGTACGCCCGGCAATTCTGCGAAGAACCTTATCTCTACTTCGCGCTATACCTCGTTAACGGCAAATAAAATTTTAAAAAGAAATTTACATCGAAAAAAATTCTAGGAATAAAATAAAAACAGAACACTTCTAAGAAATTGAACCAAAACTATAACATGAAATTTACGCAATCCTGTGTCTCAAATTATTAATAACCCCCCCGGTTAATTAAATGAACTAAACAAAATTGTCACATCCAGACGCTCTATAATTTCCTTCAAGTTACAACTAAAACAAAATAACACAACAATATATACCATGCATATCGTTTCTAGGTACCTTTCATGTTGTATTATTTTCCGTGTATAAGCAATTACTATTTAAATAAAGCGAACTGATAGTTTTATTTCCAGCAATTTTAAATTAAGTATTTTTCAAATAGCAAAATTACTAATTTAAGAATCATAAAATACTCAACCTTCACTCGTACAAGTTTAATTTAGTTATAAATTCAATGGTCATGATTTTTAAAATTCTAATTTTTAAATCCGAGCGAGTAAATAACGCATGCGCTTTAAACGGAGTCACGTCGGAATTCAGACTCCGTGGACTGCGTCAAGTACGGTACGCCCCTGTATTTGTCGTAACGTAGAAAATAAAATGGCTACCTATGTCGCTTTTAATAACCATGTATGTTTTGGTCTTTTTTTCTACGGCAGGAATGTTGGACTTACCTTCAAAATGAACAGGAACCGCATTTCCGCGTAACATTTTCCGTTTGCTGTTATGGTAAATGTGAATTGGTGAAAAGTGATCCTCGCATATCAATTTATTGGCCAGTTTATCATAAGGTAGTTCTGCCACGACCGGGTTTCCACAATTTATCCTCCATGTTTCCGTACGCTCCTGATCTTTTACAGGAAATTTGAAAAAACTGATACCCTTGAAAGCTCGATCGGTCTTGTAACAGTTAAAATACACGCAGGTATGACCTGCCGTACTCATTTTTCATTCGCGCGATATGAAAAATGTGATTTAAAACGAACGCGATTTCTATACTTGAAAACAAGGAAAGATAACAGCAAATCTTGAGAACAAACGGCCGTGTAAGTTTGGGAACCACCAGCGACTGACAACGCCGTCTAGCTTTCAGGGCCATATTCGTACGAGAGGATTGACATTAGGTAGCGCCTCTCACGTTTCTCCGCGCGTATTTACACAACAGATCAGATTGCAGTGGCTCGTTTGTAGTCGGTTTCCTTCTTTTGATTAAAGCAGTTAATGCAAGAGGAAACATCTTAAATTTTATATTTATTTATTTTTTATTTACATTTCGTAAAAGTAGGTAGGTGCAACAAAAACAAAAAATACCTATCCACAGAGCTGTGGGTAGACAACACACATTGCACCATTTCTATTTACGTATGTACCTTGTATTTTATAATCAAACCAGAGACATGGAGAGAGGAGATAGCGCATGAAACTGCGCGAAGTGACAAAACAAGGGGGCTGCCATTTTGACACCCATTGAAGCGCGAAATTTGAACAGGACTATAAAGGTTTACTGACGCAACCCAGAGACATCTAACGCAATCTTCATACACTACACTCTATTCGGCAGCAGCTCCGTAGGAAGAAACTAATATCTCAATCCAATTGAACAAAAGAAAATGCCAGTGACGTTGACGTTACAAAATAAACACTTAAACCTCGAAAAAAGCTCTCCTAAACACGAACACAGGCTAAAATAACACCACTATAAACACAACATGACACAACGGGTGTAAAAATGGCAGCGCCCATGAGGTCGCACCCTTTCTTGGATGCGCACTCGTCGATCAGCGATCTCCTCTCTCATGTCTCTGAATCAAACTCATAGGTATGTACTATCAAAGAGTATATACGTTATATACTCTTTGGTACTATGTACCATTGAATAAGTAACTTATTCATGTATGTACTGGTATGTACGGATATACGTAGGTAATCGTTTTTGGAGTTCGTATCTAATCATTGAATAAGTAATCATACAATGAGCATACTTATACAACGATCAAATGGATTTTCGGTGTCGATGTGACCATTAATACCTTAGTCTAGCCTTTAGATAATATAACGTTGACCAGATTTCTGCCACAGCAGGTTCGTCTTTGAAAACACGTGTTCCGTTACAGCATAATTTGTACCCGGAAACACGCCAATTAAGTGTACGGTAAATAATCACGGGTTTTTTTCAACTAACTCACTGAGATAGAGTAGCTCTTGACATATACTAAAGTTATTCAATTATACTTTCAGACCAGGCCATTACTGTGTAACAAAGAAACTGTGTCGGCGAACAAAGTGCGATTATAATTTTGGGTTACCTAAAATAATTCCCGCCGTCGAAGTTGAATGTACGGCGAAAGCATTGCATAATTGTGGCCGATGTGGCGATATTTGCAAGGACGATTATTGGCATAAAAACTATACCAGTTTTCTATGTCACATTTGTATGGAGGAAGAAAAAGTTTTGAGGGAAGACTTTACCATGAAACAATTGAAGGAATTTCAAGTAAGTAACTAGGGCCCAATATCAACATAATTATCTGCATTAGAGTTGGCAAGTAAATTTATAGAGAGCTTCAAACAAGATAAGTTAAGCTATATAATTTTTATTGAGCAATTCCTATACGCAGTGGCGGATTTACATATAGGCACACTAGGCACGTGCCTAGGGGCGGCACCTTTAGAGGGCGGCATTTTTTGCACTACATTTATTTTAGGTAACATTTTAAGTTTTAAAATACGCCCCCTAAGAAGTTACAAATGACAAAAATCTTTAATTAAAATTAATTGGAATTGGGAGATTTTTTAAACAAACTGTAACTGCAAGAACAATAATCGAGAATCCAAGTTTTGACGTGTGTAAATACTTAATCTTAGGTACACTGTATTTCTTTTCATATTAGTTTAAAAAATTTCAAGTTATAAAATTTGATTCCTATTAGCATCTTAAAATTTATTGCAATTTAAAGATTATTTTGGGGCGCATATCTTTCGGTGTGCCTAGGGGCGCAAAAAATTTAAATCCGCCACTGCCTATACGTCGTCTAGTATAAAAACAGTCCCAGGTAGTTGCCCACTGCAAAACTTATGTCTTTTTCTTCGCATGGGCTAGACAGAGACGAAAATATAATAGCATAATTTGTGTACCTACACCTCATAGGCGACCAAGTTTTGCGAAGGGCGGCTACGGGCGACGATTGACGTGACTGTTTTTATACCAGAAGAGCAATAATAAAATTTTATTTTTCAGAAGATACGCCTCTGTTGGTATAAGCATAATCATGAAGGCGTGGATGCCTATACACAGTTATATTCAGACGAAAAATTGAAACGAAGAGAAAGGTGTGAAAATTACCTCAATCTATACATTGATTCTATTAATAAATAACAGAGTGTACCTACAACACATTTAGACTAAATTATTTAATAAAAAAATTGATTGAGACACAAATAAATTATAAAGAATTGCAAAGATTACTATACCTACTTGCATTAAATAACAAAAAATACAATAAACTTAAGCTCCACGATGCTCTCTTGACGACAGCTCAAACCAAGATGCAGACTAACATGAAAGTCGTTCCCGTCGCGCGGTTGCCAGCTTTCAAAACCATGTGCATAACTGCATAATCGTAGGGGATATAGGTATATTCAGAGTGGAACCTCTCATGAATGTTTTCAATATTTTACTCTAAACAAATTTAGCAACAAAATTTTAAAATTCTTCTTTTTTTGCACGAATGGTGGCGCTGAGTAGAAGTATAAAGCTGCTATGTATGTGGACACAAGGATAACTTTATGGGATCCTACTTCCAAGGTGGTACCGAGAATTAAGGAAGTAACAACAAAAATTTAAAAACTCATGGGATTTGGATGATCCTGCTGCCAAAGTGTTCCAAATTTCTTTCACCTCTGTCAGTTTGTGTTAACCGTGTTAACGTTAAGCATAATCCAGAGACATGGAGAGGGGAGATCGGTGATCGACGAGTGCGCATCCAAGAAAGGGTGCGACCTCATGGGCGCTGCCATTTTTACACCCTTTGTGTCATGTTGTGTTTATAGTGGTGTTATTTTAGCGTGTGTTCGTGTTTAGGAGAGCTTTTTTCGAGGTTTAAGTGTTTATTTTGTAACGTCAACGTCACTGGCATTTTCTTTTGTTCATTTGGATTGAGATATTAGTTTCTTCCTACGGAGCTGCTGCCGAATAGAGTGTAGTGTATGAAGATTGCGTTAGATGTCTCTGGGTTGCGTCAGTAAACCTTTATAGTCCTGTTCAAATTTCGCGCTTCAATGGGTGTCAAAATGGCAGCCCCCTTGTTTTGTAACTTCGCGCAGTTTCATGCGTTATCTCCCCTCTCCATGTCTCTGGCATAATCACACCAGTTATCAGCTGCAATATACAGGGTGTTTCAAAATTCGCGCACACGGACTGTGGGATGGCGGGTTATGCAACGAAAACCGAATAAAAAGTTCCTCTACCAGTTTTTGATCAGACCGGCACTTTTCGAGTTGTCGTTCGAAAAATCTGATAATGAAAATGCCGGAAAACAAAAGATATAAGTAGTTCAATAGTTATTTATTGTAATTATCGTACAATTCAAATTGTGAAATAATGGCCGGTAATTATTCAAATCGAGAATATTACGATATGCTGATGTGATGGCACTTGGGGCTTGTAATAATCGAGCAGGGCAAGCGGTGCATTTATACGAGTTGCGACATCCTCTGCGGCGGCTACCAGATGCTAACGTTTTTAGAAGATTAGAAGACCGAATTCTGTTCAATGGTAGGTAATAATGTTGCGGTGCAGAGCAGAGCTGGGCAGAGCTTGAGGGCTTTGTGCTTGTAAAAGAGCTTCAAGTCCTTTCAGGACTTTCAAGCACTTTCTTGTGTTTGTAATTAGGACTTGATGGTAATTGAATTACTGGTCCAAAGTGCTTGGGCCTTTGAACTTCAGGGAAAAGTGCTTCAAGCCCTTTTTCCTCTACAAGCCCTTTTCGGCTTTTCAAAAGTGCTTTGTGCTTGTAAAAGTGCTTTCAAGCTCTTTCAGGGCTTCCAGGCACTGTGCTAAATTACAATTTTATTCAAGCACTTTAATCACACATGAACATTGTGTGGTACGAAAAAGAAAAATTACCTCTCAGCATTTCTTTTTTAAGAACACGGTATCGCATTGTGCAGTGTGCATGTGCATAGCATTCAGATTCAGTATGCTTTTTAGCGTTAAAACTTAAAATGAGAGTTATTTAATTAAAAGTTTTGCGTGGTGTGTTTGTGTTTTAATTTTACAATTTAATTTAAATTTGTTAAAAAGTTTTTAGGCAGTGTACGTAGCTGAAAAACTATAGTGACTTTTCATATACCCTTAAGAACATGTGTACCAATTTTCAAAGCGATCGGACGTTTCTAAACAAAGTTGTTGTGCACACGGACAAACAGCAATGACAAAATTATAAACGATCTCAAGGGTCGTTAATAAGGATTCAGGAATTCGAGTAAAAGTGCTTCAAGCCCTTTTCCTAAAAGTGCTTTGTGCTTGGGAAAGTGTTCAAGTCCTTTCAGGGCTTCAAGCCCTCAAATTGTATACAAGCCTTGTCCTAAAGTGCTTTGTGCTTGAAGTTCAAAGCCCTTTTAGAAGTAATTTGTAATTTCAAGTCTTTCTGATGGCCGGTAGTAGGTAATTTGTGCTTGACTTGAGTATCGAAGCACATTGACTAAGGGCTTTGTGCTTAGAGCTGTGCAGTAAGGGCTTTGCCCAGCTCTGTTGCGGTACCACAACAGAGCTGTGCAGTAAGGGCTTTGCCCAGCTCTGTTGCGGTGCCACAACGTGTTTTTAAAAATGTGTTATTATTATTAATATCATTGAATAATTAT